TACATAGAGGAACGTTTTTTTTTTTAATCGTGCATATTACCTTCCACGACTTTGGATTGAAAACAGAAAAAAATTGAACAAAAGCAGAAAACTGCGCAAAGCATGACGACGCATGCTTGGAAGTATTATCATTAAAGTGTTCATGCATGGATAAGAGAAGACTTGCGTATTGAGACACGGTATTTATTTTTAAACAAAGAAAGTAAGCTTGGGCAGGACACATTGCTACAAATGATGGTTCAGCAAAACGGGATAGTGAGGGATGGTGGTAATGTCACGAGGCCTTCATCCAGCAGGAGACAGATTACGCCTGATAACGAATACAGCTAAAACGAGAAAAGATAACATTTTTATGCGCGTCAATTTAAAATATTCACGTCTTGATGTGTTGTGGGATGCTATTAGCATAAATGACGCTATATAAAATGAAAGTATTATTTTTAAATGCACGACTCAATTGATGCACAGCAAGCATAGGGCCCAATGCAAACAATGAAATGTTTCAATGCTTTTGAGACCATCCAACCCTGTGGGGCTTGAAAGTGTAATTCCAGTGCTGGCTAGGTATCCAAATATGAAAAATGTAAACATAAGTGACCTTTTGTTCAATGCAAATTATAATTAGTTGAAATCTGCATTACAAACAACATTCATGCACAAGGTTACAATTTGGCACGGCAGTCACGGTTGGCTATGTACGGTGGGAAAAGTTCAAGATAAACATTTATAAAAACATACATGCGTACATGAACTTCATTCGCACCGTAAGTAGCCAACCGTGCTAATCGGAGGTGCAGGGGAAGGATAACTAAACACGAAAAGCAGTTCTAAAGGAATGACTTTTCACAATTTAGAAATTTGAATAAAGTCTCAAATCTTGGAAATGACTTTTTTCTACCTTCAAATGGTTTCCATTTTGCTTCCTAAATACCACAAGTCATGCTCTGAAAATAAAAATCTGTAAGTGCAAGACAGAGAATGGTATTCTATTGTTGCGTATGATGGCAATATGTTGAGGAGCTACATGCCAATGTCGAGGTCTGCTCGCCACGAGAGGGTTTTTGGAAAGTTTGTGTAGTTTTTCTATTCCTTTGTTGCAGGAGCTCCAACTAATGTACAGTGGCATACACAGTTTGAGTTGCATGTCCGTTCACACTGTGGTTTGTCTTAGTTTTTAAATGCATGAAAGAGATGTGCTCATCTGCGTGTTGTTCTGATGCGGCTGATGGCACACCAGTGTCTTCGAGGGAATATCAAAGCACTGAGAGGGGGTGTGACGTTTGGGTTTCGAACGAGGCATTTATTCTGGATTTCAACATTGTTCCACGCTTGTTGGCCAGCGTTCTTCCAGATCCGAGTGAGATTTCTAGGATTCTGATAGCACGATCCCAGAAGGGGGATCGAGACACGAGCCGGCGATGTACATTGGTCGAGGACAGAACACTGATCACAGGTCGACCAATAAAGAATCAGCGGAAGATGGTTGGTGGTGGCACCTTGGGTTTGAAATGGCAAAAACTTAAACATTTCTTAAATTTGCTCATTGTTTAAAATAAACCTGTTATTTTAACTTCCCCCCCATATTAAAGTAAATTAGACAAAAAAAATCCACACTTAAAGTTGTAAATTTAACAAAAACGATCGTGCAAAATCATATAATTATTAGTGTACAAAAAAAGCACCTATTATTTTTTTTATTTAAAGCTTTCGTGACTGCAGTAATTCATATTCTTAGCTCTTTCGGTAAAGTCACGTTGAAGAGAAACAATAAAATAATAAAATATATAAAACAATAAAAATTCTCACGACGTTTCGACCATAACACAAACGGTCATCATCAGGTGCGAAAGCCAACGGCAAGAAACATTTGAAAGAAGTGGCGGTTTGCATTTATTTATTTTTAAACGGTGTCTGTATTTATTTTAAAAAAACGTTAGCATCACGGGCAGCGATTTGGCAGTTTGTTTAGAAGGACGAGTCCATCTATGTTCTGAAAAGAGGAGGGGGGAGACGAAAAATTTATGTATGCTGTCTGAAAGCCACCATAAGCGTGAACAATCAATTAAGACCTGAAATGGTTTATCAAATCATTCCAATGATTGCTAAGCCAGAATCTATCTTCTCGGTTGAAATTGTCTCTGTACTTATATATGTGGATAGCCTCATGAACTAATCTCTCATGGTAGCCAGATGGCTTACAAAGAACCTCTGTCTTGGAAAAGTCAATGTCATGTGAGCCTACTGAATTATAACAATGATCAGCCACGGCCGAGGTGTTGCTCCTACCGTGTTTAAGGTCTGCTTTGTGTTCACGAATGCGGTCCGAGACATGGCGTTTGGTTTCTCCAATGTAACTACTACCACAGAGGCAACTTAGTTTGTAGACACCAGGGTACTGTATGTCCGGAATCACATCTTTTACAGACGGAACCAGATCACAGATTTTAAGTAATGTGTTGAAACGGACCTGGATCTTGTGTTTATTCAAGATTTTGGAGATCTTTTTGTGATCCCCGCAATGTAGGGTAAAGTGATGGTTTTGAAAGGCTCCTCAAGAGGGTCCTTCTTCATGGTTTGAGTGATAGCTTCGCGGATTGTATAGTCGGAGTAACCATTAGCCTTAAGAACTTGGTGTACGTGCTTGAGTTCACTGCCTATGTGTTCCTGGTCGGATATGCATTGGGCTCTATGGTACATAGTCTTGATGAGAGAATTCCTCTGTGATGGATGGTGGTGGGAATCCGGTTTCAGATAAGCATCCGTATGGGTAGCTTTCCTGTAGACAGAGTGGCTCATTGAACCATCAGGTCTCTTTTTTATTAGGACATCCAAAAAAGGTAGCTTGCCATATTTTTCGACTTCCATGGTAAATCTGATGGCTGGGTGTATGGAATTGATGTGGTCGAAGAATTGGTCTAGAGCAGGTCGGCCATGTGGCCAGATGATTCAACCGCATTAATTGATCAATCTAAACAGTTTTCGTTGAAACCTTCTGCTGCCAGGCCACCAAGATTATACGGCTTACCAAAAATACATAAAGTAAATACACCCCTTCGTCCCATCGTCTCTACTATCAACTCCCCCACCTACAAACTGGCTCGTTTTTTGTCTGAAATCCTGCGTCCTTTTACTGTAAAAACCACCTCTGCGGTACAAAATTCTACTCACCTAGTATCGACAATCAAGGGTATTTCCCTGTCCCCAGACGACCTGCTTATCAGTTTTGATGTAGTTTCCTTATTCACCAAAGTTCCTGTACCTGACACCATCGCAATCATTGAAGACTTGGTTCATCAAGGACTAAACACTGAGGTACCCCCCCCCCCCCTGGTAAGACACTGCTTAACCAATACATACTTCTTCTTTGGTTCTTTCGGTAAAGTCACGTAGAATGAGAATAAAATAATAAATTGATAAAATAAAATAACACAATATTCTCACGACGTTTCGGCCACAACACAAGCGGCCTTCATCAGGTGAAGGGACGAGACTGTCTGGAGGACAGCGCTTTATTATTTTATTCTCATTCTACGTGAATTTACCGAAAGAACCAAAGAAGATGAATCCTTGCAGTCACAAAAGCTTTAAATCGAAATTCAATACATATTTCACTTGGAATGGAACTTTCTACAAACGGAGGGCAACCCAATGGGCTCCCCCCTATCTCCGATTATGGCTAAAATTTTCATGGAGAAATTTGAGACTGACGACATCCAGACTGCCACTTGTCATCTGGCCACATGGCCGGCCTGCTCTAGACCAATTATTCGACCACATCAATTCCATACACCCAGCCATCAGATTTACCATGGAAGTCGAAAAAGATGGCAAGCTACCTTTTTTGGATGTCCTAATAAAAAAGAGACCTGATGGTTCAATGAGCCACTCTGTCTACAGGAAAGCTACCCATACGGATGCTTATCTGAAACCGGATTCCCACCACCATCCATCACAGAAGAATTCTCTCATCAAGACTCTGTACCATAGAGCCCAATGCATATCCGACCAGGAACACATAGGCAGTGAACTCAAGCACGTACACCAAGCTCTTAAGGCTAATGGTTACTCCGACTATACAATCCGCAAAGCTATCACTCAAACCATGAAGAAGGACCCTCTTGAGGAGCCTTTCAAAACCATCACTTTACCCTACATCGCAGGGATCACAAAAAATATCTCCAAAATCTTGAATAAACACAAGATCCAGGTCCGTTTCAACACATTACGTAAAATCCGTGATCTGGTTCCGTCTGTAAAAGATGTGATTCCGGACATACAGTACCCTGGTGTCTACAAACTAAGTTACCTCTGTGGTAGTAGTTACATTGGAGAAACCAAACGCCATGTCTCGGACCGCATTCGTGAACACAAAGCAGACCTTAAACACGGTAGGACCAACACCTCGGCCGTGGAAGATCATTGTTATAATTCAGTAGGCTCACATGACATTGACTTCTCCAAGACAGAGGTTCATTGTAAGCCATCTGGCTACCATGAGAGATTCGTTCATGAGGCTATCCACATACACAAGCACAGAGACAATTTCAACCGAGAAGATGGATTCTGGCTTAGCAATCATTGGAAGGATTTGATGAACCATTTCAGGTCTTAATTGATTGTTCACGCTTACGGTGGCTTTCAGACAGCATACATTAATTTTTCGTCTCCCCCCTCCTCTTTTCAGAACATAGATGGACTCGCCCTTCTAAACAAACTGCCAAATCGCTGCCCGTGGTGCTAACGTTTTTTTTAAGTAAATAAATCCAGACACCGTTTAAAAATAAATAAATGCAAACCGCCACTTCTTTCAAATGTTTCTTGCCGTTGGCTTTCGCACCTGATGATGACCGTTTGTGTTATGGTCGAAACGTCGTGAGAATTTATTGTTTTATATATATTTTATTATTTTATTTTTCCCTTCAACGTGTCTTTACTGAAAGAGCTAAGAATATCTATTATTTTTCTACCTACGTGACTTCACCGAAAGAACCAAAGAGTATGGATTTCTGAAGTCACGAAATATTCAAATCAAGATCAATAAAAAAAAGATTGTCCAATTATAAAAAAAAGCACATGGAAGAGCTGTGCTGGTAAGATATGCATGGGGGGAAAAACAGGGATAATCAGTAATACGACTAATTTACGAATAATCTTGCCTCTTTGGCCAGCTGCTTTTTTGTTGCGTGGAATTACAGGAAGAAGAGTTTGTCACACAGGCCTGGATCTGGATCGCTGTGCAAATTCTCCCCAACCAATGAAGCCAGCTTATGGGCATACTGGCACGGAGCTGGCACACGGACAGTGCCAGACCAGTTGTAGTACAGGTGAGTCATCTTGTACGTTAGCCTGAGGAGAGAATGGGTAGGGACGGAGGGGGCGGGGAAGAGGTGGTAAACAGTTCTTTATTACACTACAACACCATATCATCCTACCCGTAACACTCTGATCATATAACATAGCTGTTGTGTTCTACATATGTTCACAAATCCTGACTTTTTCACATGCGGTCACGAATTCTTAACCTTGCGTAGAACATTTGCTGACAATAAAGAATGTTCTCCAATGTTTGAAGCAGTTTGCGCTTTTCGGCTGGAAAACCTATTTCGCGCATAACGAAACTGGGACAATTTTCTACGTTTCACAGAAAAATCAAGGACCAACCCCCACCTCTGAACGTGGTCTGCGCTGAGCTTGAGGCTGTTGAAGATCACCACGTAGTGCGTGGGGGAAACCGTGCCCTGACGCACGTGTTGCGACACCAGGAAGAAGTCAAACCTTTAGAAACACGCACGCAGCAGGCGCACACCCTCAACAAAATATAAAGTAGATTTTTCATATGCACAGGATACAGCGAAGTGTAACACAACACAATGATAATGCTTACTTGCACGCTCTCCCAAACAGTGCAGCAGCTATAAAAAAAATATATTCAATAAAGTAATGGAGTACTATGACAATAAAATAAGAAAAGCAGAAAAAAAGAACTGTATATAAAAGAGGTGAGAAATAGACTTATTCACAGTAAGTACTATTTACACAGAAATTATTGCAAATTACTCGACATACTGCTTTTGACCAAACGCCTTGGCGATCTGCACCCAAACTTTGTCAGATCTTGGAAGCCGTGCAGGTTTGTTGAGCCTGTCCAGGCCTTTGGATAGGCAACCACAAAACCTTCATCTGGCAGTCAATTGACAAAGGGCTATATAGTAAAACCTTGGGTTGCGAGTAACTTGGTCTGCCAGTGTTTTGCAAGACGAGCAAACATTTTAAATAAATATTAATTTGATAAACGAGCGAGGTCTTGCAATACGAGTAAGTACGTATACGCTTTGTCTGCCGAGCGTCACGTGATCACAACTGATATACGAGTGCTTTGATATACGAGTGCTTTGGATTACAAACACGTTTCCGGAACGAATTATGCTCGCAATCCAAGGTTTTACTGTACATGTATTCCACAGGAAGCAGCCTCTCAATGATCACTTACCAGGTGCAAAAGTAGATTTTTTTCTTACTCAGATTTTTCCACGATTTCTAAACATGCACAGTTTCACTTTAAGTAAATGTATTTCGTCTTTAATGGTTAGATGGGAAAAACCAAACCCTTAAACCGTGTAAATACCAACAGTTGGAGACCATTTCAGTGTGCTTAACATTGCAGTCACCGAATATAGAAAGTTTTACTCGTAAGGCCCTTTCACGAGGGAACTTTTATGACTTGAATAATCATAAAAAACTAAATGTATCACTTGATCTATACAAAAGCAATCTGGTTTGCTGGCACTACAGCACAGCACCAGATTAATAAATCAAAGGTCATGTGCTCAAATCCCAGAGTTTAAATTATCAAATTGTACATACCTAGAGCAACTACTACACCTTGGTCCCCATTAAGTGGCTGGATATGTGACAATGTACGCGTGATGAGGAAGGAGACTCTCAGAGGGGTGCGCGGTGCTGTCGCTTGCCACAACAGGCCATGCTCACCACTCTTGGCTGGTGGCGACAGTGTCCAGCACGCTGCCCGAAGGTGCGTTCTCCATGGCGCCGTTGTTGTTCAAAAAAATGTTGGTGCTGATCCGCTTCTGCACCACAACCACCAGCATCTTGGGCTGGTACGACAGGTCAAAGGTCCTGAAGCCATTGGTCAGCTGCATCACCTCGAAGTCGCGCACGATCGCCAGCTGGTTGTCAGACACGCCGTCGCGGTACATGATGATCTTCTCCGGGAGGTAGTGGTTTAGCTGTGCAGAGAAAAGGCCGGTTAATGGCAAGTGGCAAGATAGGAAACATTATATACAGGTTGGCATGTGATGACACATCGATTCAATTATAATAAATTCCATATTTAAAACTGAATGAGAACCTAAGAAGAGACCATTTATGATTTATGTGAAAGGCTAAAAGGGTATAGTCCTGCAATTACTTTCTTACGGCGGAAGGGGGCTCTTATGAGAGGGAGCTATATGCGAAAGCCAGGGGACCCTTTTAAGTCAAGGCCAGGGTCAAGGCTGGATCCTCTAGGCTGAGGCCATGGTCAAGGATGGTGCTTCTAAGCAAAGTCCTTTGACTGAGGCCACCACTCTTGAGGCCTAGGCCAAGCATGAGAGCCGAATTTATGTGATAATTATTATGCTGCATTGACACTTTATTACCAGTCTGTAATCAGAAAAAACAAAAGGCACTCGGTAGGTTATGAGGGTTGTCAGACAGCACACATCTGACTACATTTACTAAATTTGTATTTGCAATTCTTATTTTGGACTGTCAAATACACAAGATACGATATCATAAATATAACCACGTCGCAACAAAACCCATTATGGCATTATGACATGGTTATATGGGTTTTTAGCTCCATCTTCTGGCCACATACATTTTGGTGTACGGTGCTTTTTTCAGGAATATTTTGCTGTTTTTTTCATGGATTTTCTGTTTGCACAGTCACACAGTGACTTTAAGATGTTTTTCTTGTTCGTGTTTTTTTTGTTGTGGTCACACCCGATTCAAGAGCCGAATGGCTCACAGGGCTATACCAAAAAAAATAAACTGAAAACTGAAATTTTGCAGCACTATAAATGGATAGAATCATTTCCATCAAATAAGCACTCCTGAATTAACTAAAATAAATTCGAAATCAATAAATAGTTAACGTCTATTAAGTGCAATGCATAAAACATTGGCCTCAAGGCCGAGGGCTGGTCGAGAGGACCCCAGAGAGGAGATGAGTGCAATCAGAGACCTACACCAGACATGAGAGTTGAGCGAGCTGTAGACATGATTAAATTAACTGAGATCAAAGTGAAATAAACAATCAGAGACCTACACCAGATATGAGAGTTGAGAGAGCTGTAGACATGATTAAATTAGCTGAGATCAAAGTGAAATAAACAATCAGAGACCTACACCAGACATGAGAGTTGAGAGAGCTGTAGACATGATTAAATTACTCGTTGGTTCTATTCGGTAAAGTCACGTAGGTAAAAAATTAAACAACAAAAAATCACGACGTTTCGGCCACAACACAAGCGGCCTTCATCAGGTGAAGGGATCAGGCTGTCTCGAGAACAGCGCTGGAGTGGAACACAGCCACGCTCAGACCGCGACCGTTAAGCTGCGTGCGAGGAAACAAGGTGCCTTGACCAAGGAATTGGCATAAAAAATTAGCATTTGATTGCCCAACTTAGCATAGAAGTGGTGTACATGCAAGTGCACATGCCGGTTGGCGTGGGGGGGGGGAGGGGGAGTTTCCCTATTGATGGTGTGAAAAGGAAATTTAAGAGCTGCGAAAGTTTGGGGTACCACTACTTGAAAAATATACTGTACCATTGAAAATTAGTTTAATGTTTGGTTCGATTTAAAACATCTTTCCAATGGTTGCTTAATTTGAAACCATCTTCTCGGTTGAAATTGTGTCTGTGCTTGTAGATCTGAATTGCCTCGTGAACAAATCTCTCTGAGATGAAAGATAGGCTGGCCTTAAACAGATATGATATCATCTCTCAGGTCGATGTAGCCCTCAAAGACGTGGGACACATCCAAGCAGACGTTGCGAGAGCTGAAATAGGCACTATTCTTAAGAATGCTAAGAAACCCATTAGTAACACCAGCAAAAATGAACGCTCTGAACTCGCGAATTTAAAAAACAGAAGTGATATAGTCATCCTCTCAGCCGATAAAGGCAACGCTACTGTAATTATGGATAAAGATTCATACAACAAAATCCAGAATCTGCTCAACGATGGAAGTTACTCAAAAATTAAAAATGACCCTACCAATAGCCTAGCGATAACAACCAACAAGATCATCACAAGTTCGACCTCCCTAATCGACCCAACAAAACGTCCCTCCCTAAAACCTTCTGCTGCAAGACCCCCTAGATTATATGGTCTTCCCAAGATTCATAAAGAAGGCACCCCACTACGACCCATCGTATTCACGATCAACTCTCCTACCTATAGACTGGCCCGTTTTCTGTCAGATACCTTGCTGCCTTTCACTGGCAAGACCGCCTCAGCAGTACTTAACTCAGCCCAATTGGTCTCTATGGTCAAAGACGTTGTACTGTCCCCTGACGATATCCTTGTAGGCTTCGATGTGGTCTCTTTGTTCACCAAGGTCCCAGTACCATTGAAATAATTGAAAATTTGGTCCAACATGGACTAGACCCCGATACACCTGCACTGGTTAGGCACTGCCTCAACAATACCTACTTTACTTGGAATGGCTCCTTCTACAAACAAAATGAGGGTACCCCCATGGGATCCCCCTTGTCACCAGTGATAGCCAATATTATCATGGAGAAATTTGAATCAGACGCCATCCAGACTTCCACCCTCAGACCTTCCCTGTGGAAGAGATATGTGGATGACACTTTCGTCATTTGGCCACATGGCCTCCCAGCTCTGAACCTTTTCCTACACCACATCAATTCCAGACATCCTGCCATCAAATTCACCATGGAGGTGGAGAAAGATGGCAAGCTACCATTCTTGGATGTTCTGTTTGAGAGGAGACCTGATGGCTCATTGGGGCATTCTGTCTACAGGAAACCCACCCACACGGATTCCTACTTGAAGTCTGATTCCCACCACCACCCAGCCCAGAAGAATTCTCTCATCAAAACTTTATACCATAGGGCTCATTGCATTTTGGACCAACACCACCTGACCAGTGAATTAAAACATGTACACCTGGCCCTCAAAAGGAATGGATACTCTGACCGTACCATCCGCCAAGCTGTTTCTCCCTCCATACAGAAACAACCACTTGATACTCCGGTCAAAACCATCACACTACCATATATAGCAGGCGTTACTAAAAGGATTTCCAAAATTCTAAACAAACACAAGATCCAGGTCCGGTTCCTATTCAGTACACAAAATTCGTGATCTGATCCCATCTGTGAAGGATGTCATTCCTGACTTACAGTACCCCGGGGTTTACAAATTGAGTTGTACCTGCGGTGATTGCTTTTTCGGGGAGACAAAGCGACATGTCTCTGACCGAATTCGCGAGCACAAATCAGATTTGAAACACGGTAAAACGAATTCTTCTGCCGTAGCTGATCATTGTTACAACGCTGTGGGTGATCACGATATAATTTTCTCCGATACCAAGGTTCTTTGCAAACCCACGGGTTTTTATCTGAGATTTGTTCACGAGGCAATTCAGATCTACAAGCACAGACACAATTTCAACCGAGAAGATGGTTTCAAATTAAGCAACCATTGGAAAGATTTTCTAAATCGAACCAAACATTAAACTAATTTTCAATGGTACAGCATATTTTTCAAGTAGTGGTACTCCAGACTTTCGCAGCTCTTAAATTCCCTTTTCACACCATCAATAGGGAAACTCCCCCCCCCCCCTGCGCCAAACGGCATGTGCACTTGCATGTACACCACTTCTATGCTAAGTCGGGCAATCAAATGCTAATTTTTTATGCCAATTCCTTTGTCAAGGCACCTTGTTTCCTTGCACACAGCTTAAAGGTCGCGGTCTGAGCGTGGCTGTGTTCCACTCCAGCGCTGTCCTCGAGACAGCCTGGTCCCTTCACCTGATGAAGGCCACTTGTGTTGTGGCCGAAACGTCGTGATTTTTGTTGTTTTATTTTTTACCTACGTGACTTTACCGAATAGAACCAAAGAGTATGGATCCTTGCAGTCACGAAAGCTTTAAATCTAGAAATGATTAGATTAGCTGAGATCAAAGTGAAATAAACAATCAGAGACCTACACCAGACATGAGAGTTGAGATAGCTGTAGACATGATTAAATTAGCTGAGATCAAAATGAAATTAACAAATCAGAGACCTACACCAGACATGAGAGTTGAGAGAGCTGTAGACATGATTAAATTAGCTGAGATCAAAGTGAAATAAACAAGACAAAAATGCCCGTGGAGGCAAGAAATACATATTGGTCAAATATAGGGAGGTTATGATGCTATGTAACAACATAACGTCTGTACTTGTAACATACGATATCAAGCTGCCTCCCAGCACACTAATTTTATTAAGTGAGCCACCGGGAAATATAGATTAAGAACCATATTATATAAGAACAAGGAATGTAATGAATTGGCATAAGGCGGCCCCCTCCACCAAGCAGTGTGCCGCTGGGAAAGGAGTTTTCATATTTTCAGATGAGCATACCTCATAGTATTTCTTAATGGCCGAGGTCATGCACAGATTGAGTCCATCCACCAGCTCCTGGGACGTTGACTGTCGCACGACGCGCGAGTACCAGCGGCTCACGGACCTGTACCGACAGTGCAGGAGCCCAATCAATCCTAATCCACCAAAGAGAAGGATTTTCAGGTTGTCGGGCAAACACTGTTCAGCGAGCACCAATGCAGGCCGACACGGTAGCGTGAGCAGCAACATGCCTGGCAGCCTTTTTTCTCCCAATGCTGATGTTTACATACCGCATCAGATAGTTATTTAAGGCCGAGATGATCTAGGGTAGGGCTTAAGACCAGTTCTGACATTCGCCCTTTGTTAGCATAACCAGTGCCAGCAATCCAGGTAGCCCTGGCCAAATATTGCATGAATATTCAACTGCAAACCCAAGTACAGTTGGTTTTAGCATGTTAGCCAAACCTTCACTACTGAGTGTTAAATACACAAACGTTTTGCAAACCATTCAGTTATTTTACGCACAACCTTTCGCAACATACACTAACTCAGGTCAACTTATCAATGCCGACGTGAGATTGATGCGACTGTCTATGCATGTCAATACATGTCTAAGGCGATTTATGGGGAGCAGCAGTGTCGTGGTTAGCGCACTGCGCTACAATCCCAGCGACCCGGGTTTAATTCCCGCCGACAATCAATAACAGTGGCGAATATTTGAACCAGTCTTGGGCCTCCTCTAGGTCAACTCCGCCTCAAGTGAGTGCCTCGTGCGGTGTTTAAAACATCGCCACTACGGAGACAAAGGCGGCCGATCATGGTGTTGGCCACCCCGCCTCGTGTACCGTGCCGTCTTTCATAGGTGCTCGCTAACAGCACTTGCCCCAACAGTCTGCTAAGGCTATAATGGGGGATCTTTGTCTTTGTTAAGGTGATTAACCACTGGAGACCAAGAAAATGCCACGTGGCACATAAGACACCAACCTGTTCATGCTGGCCACAAAGCCAACCACAGATTGCTTTCCGAGCACCACGTTGTGGAAAACATCAACTCCAACCACCATGAGGTTTTTCTGGACAAAGAAAGTCATGAATAACTGAACAAGAATTATAAAGATTATATAAAAAACGAAATCCAGAAGCTACTGCAAATACATCTTAAAAATCTGGTTTCTATCGACTGTGAAAGGAACACACCTGACTTTGTATATTGCAAAGGCCAAGTGGCATCCAATTATAGAGGCTATATTCATTTAAGTCATGTACTTGTATGTAGCAATGCAAGGCAAAATCCAAAGGTGCAAGGAGCTACTCTGCTATATCTGCTCCCCATCTTCACCAACCTGCACTGACCAGTTAAATAAGCCCGATCTGCATGGCATGGAGAGGCCTTCATCTAGCAGTGGACTAAAAGCCATAACCTAAATTAAAAAAATGCACAGCTCCAGTCGCTTCCTAATAATCAGAAGTGTCTTCCAGATGGCCACAGAAGCGCATCTGAAAGCACGCGATTCAGTGACTGTCTTTGTTCGTCGTTAGTCAAAAGCCGCTGCGAGGATGACCAGAGTTTGCGTGATGGTTTATGCTCCTTAACGAGATCAGCACGGTATCGTGGTTCATTTGTGGCAAGCACTTGTGTAATCAGTAACCTTATTATAATGTATTCGTTCAGCAACCGGAAGCCAAAGCAGCTCAGCGAGCACCAGACGAACATGGTCGGATCTTGCAGTACCGTTTACGACACATGCCAAAGAATTTTGTACACGCTACAGCTTGCTCATGTTTTCCCAGACGTCCCGTAGAGTACCGAGTTGCAATAATCGAGCCTTGTCGATACTATGCTACACGCCACAGTGTTGGCTATGTCATGACTCAATAGTGGTCGAATGTGTCGTAGAGGCCTGATATTAAAATATCAGGACCTGACTGTATTTTGCACGTCATGATCAAACGACATTCTGGCTGAGTTTGGTGCCAGGGATCTTTAGATGAGCATAAAGCATAATCTTGGGAGTCTGCGAATGCCACACCTGATCCTCCCACATTTTTGTACAGACTTTTATTGAACTTGTTGTCTGTTTATATTCTTTTGAATCTATACCATGTTGTTTAGATTGGAAGGTATAATATTGTATTGTATAGTAGTCCAGTTTATAGCACAGTTATAACGCAACACAGGACAGAGCAGCACACCGTGGCTGTTTTCTTCTTTTTACTTTACCCAGCCTCCCTCCTCCGTTCCGAAGCTTGTCCCTCATATCAACATGCTAATTCATATGTTAATTTATGTTAATTCCTCCCACACAGCTTCAAAACGCTGTCCATGCTTGGCAGTGTTCACTCAAGTGCTGTCTTCTGGACAGTCCTGTTTCTTCACCTGAGGAAGGCTACTTGTGTTGTGGCCGAAACGTTGTGAGAATTTTACAATGTTTTATTTTTATTATTTTATTTCCATTCTACTTGACTTTACCGAAAGAACCAAGAAGATGTACTAATTTAGTCACACACACATTCATAAACACTAAAGAGTGGCTATGAATGTATTCCCAGTCTACACACAATCACCCATGAACTTAGAAGTAACCTGCGTGCCCAATTACTTTTGCACCATTTGCTAGCCTGTTCGTTTTAGAAAAGCAGAAAACTGAGACACCCATTCCAGAGTAACAATTTGTGAATGTAAAAAAAGTCAATTAAGTTTCTTCTAGGCCGTGCAAAATGTCACCAGTCAAAGCCATCTGTTGACAATACCACAGGGGAGCTTACCAGCGGGATGTCAAGAATCCACAGCTCCCCTCCCAACTTGCAGTTCATCTGCAGCACCACTTTCTGAGCCACGCTGCGCAATCTTTTCTGCTGGCTGATTGTGCGCGTCTGCACAACCTGCACAGGGACCACAGTAGAGGCAGAAACACGCTTACACGGGGGGGGGGGGGGGGGGGGTGGGGAGAGGCTGTGTGGAGTTGTTATCCCAATGAGAGCTGCGTATCTAAATGACTAGAGTTCAATTGCCAGCCATGGTTAGCATCAATGGCGAGCAATATCTGAACCGGTCCTGGACCCCACGTTCACCAACCCATACTGGCCAGCATGCTGAGGTATGGTCAAACATCCCTCACGTATGACCAATTGTTGTGAGAAGGCCTTCATCAAGCAGGGGATTGACAATAACGTTAATAAGAACGTGCTTAAATTTGTTAGTATTATTACTTATGATACACACCCATTGCTATCATTCCCCAGGCAGCACGATGCCTTGACTGTTTACAACTCGAATCACAATAAACGATTTTATGTGATAATTATTATGCTGCATTGACACTGTATTACCAGTCTGTAATCAGAAAAACAAAAGGCACTAGGTAGGTTATGAGGGTTGCCAGACAGCACACATCTGACTACATTTACTGAATTTGTATTTGCAATTCTTATTTTGGACTTTCAAATACACAACATAAAATATCATACATATAACCACGTCGCAACAAAACCCATTATGGTATTGACATGGTTATATGGGTTTTTAGCACCATCTTCTGGCCACATACATTTTGCAGCACTATACATTGATAGAATCATTGCCATCAAATAAAGCCCTTCTGAATCTGTCTAAAATAAATTCGGAATCAATAGTTAACGTCTATCAAGTGCAATGCATAAAAAAATTGGTAAATATTATTATTGTTGAATGCCAGACATTGTGTGGTTGTAGGATAGAGATTTTTAAGTTGGATATCTTCACACTTGCTTTGGTTATGTGGAATAGTAACTATTAATATCGTTGGTCAAGCAATAGATAATCAAGGCAATTGCGTGGAATAGCTTTGAATCCTCATGCTGGTCCTCTTAGGATTTTTGATAAGTTGCTGTAGCTTGGCTGTTCAAGGCATTTAACCGAAACCTAAGACTTCTGAAAGAGGTCTTGACACCAAAGTTGTGGGGTTGGTGCATCTGGTTTGCGGAGATATCATTATACAGAGAAACATAAGTGGCACATAACTGGAGAACCACATTTTATTTTCTCCTTAAGCGAGAAATAAAAACAATATAACGATCATTTGGACGAAGAAACAAGTTGCCGTTTTTAATTTAAAATACTTAATGTGCAGTGGGTAAAGTAATTACTTCAATGCTGTTTACAACTGGAAAATGTAAATAAGTGACACTACAAACGTTTACCTCCTTACAATAGCATTCACTTTGTTTGACAAATCCAATGATTGCTTTAGGTGTGACAAGTCTGCCATGTGTGTACCTGTGATGGCACCGCCAGCTCCACACAGCAGACTTGCTTCACAGTACTGTAGCGATCGTCCCGTAATGTGGGAAAGATGCACATGACCATCTGCACCTGCACGTCGCCACAACCAACAGCAGCAGCACCACCACCACCACCACCACCAAATAAACGACAAAGCTGATTAATGCTCAATCGCGGGCACACAGTGTGGCTCACAAGACTTCTCAAACCAAAACCCTGGTGCAATTAAGGCCTTTCTCTCAAGTCCGCCGCCCCATCACTTACGCCCTGGGAGTAGCTGTAGTTCTTGCGGATGCAGTCGATGTAGGTCTTGGTGTGATCGTTCGGCAGCTCTATTATGTTGGGTAATTGGTGTACGAGGCCCATCGGAGGCCCCACGTTGCACATCATGGTCACAAACTCGTGCACGAGAAACGAGTCACGGTGCGTGCAGAGCACCTGCCAGTTCTTCATCGCCACCTGTGCATCCACATCGTGCGTAAAAAGCGTACACCGGGCACAAAGCTAAACCGTCAATTCACTCGGGGGTGAAATAAGTCTTCTGTTTTACTTTGCATTTGTCAGTTCATCATCAATAGGGAAGGGGGGGGGTCACTAAAGCCAAACAGACGTGCGAATGAAGGAAATCTATACTCTTTGGTTCTATTCGGTAAAGTCACGTAGGTAAAAAATAAAACAAAAATCACGACGTTTCGGCCACAACACAAGCGGCCTTCATCAGGTGAAGCCGCTTGTGTTGTGGCCGAAACGTCGTGATTTTTGTTGTTTTATTTTTTACCTACGTGACTTTACCGAATAGAACCAAAGAGTATGGATCCTTGCAGTCACGAAAGCTTTAAATCTAGAATGGAAGGAAATCTAAGCAATTGGCTTCGATGTTTTTTCGGTTTGTTGTACCGCGCGTTGTTCGGTATTTTACTCCCATGTGCTCATAACCACAGGATTATAGGAGCTGCTCGAAGAATCATAATATTTATTTATACTACATGAATTTCGATGAGCTATTACGCTCTCTTTCACATATGTGCAGTAATTTTCAGATGACCAGTAGAAGCTCTCACTTAGCGATGAGCAAAACGTAGGACATTGTGCTGAACACCACAGTACAATAACCTGAAAACACATCGGAGAGTGTACAGACAACTGAAAAAACCTATTCATTTCTCGTAGTTTAGCAATGTCCTAAATCTGGTCATGCTGCCAACACACTGGGCTATCGCTTGAAATGTCATAATACATTAACAGATGACTGAATGACTGGGGATGGAATGAACGTCAGTTATCCCGCTAAACAAATCCGTAAGCACATATTCAAGACACAAAGTCACAAACTCGAGCCGTAGGAGGCAGTGACTCACGGCTGTGATGCAGGGGGTGTTGACAATATGGCGCGTCCAATCAGCTTCAGGCGAAAACGCGAAGGCCTTGTACTGCAGTCGAATAATCTCAGGCGGCAGTTGGCGGCCACTCAACTGAAATGGTAAAGGGCAGTCGTTTGCGAGTCCGATACCGGCTATGAAAACACACGCGAACAATAATTTAACTCGGTTTGGTGCACCTATCGCTGAAGCACATTGCTGAGTATACAATACATTTCATAGGCAAGCATTTTTACATTTGTGTTTATAGGTTTTTGGATGGTATTGAGTCTTGGTGGTTTTACCTGCTTGGTAAAAATCCCAAGCACTGTGGTAATAATCAATAGGCTCCGAACACCGGCAAAGACTGAGCAAAAGTGTTTTTATGCAATAAACATGAGATTTTATTTTATAAACAGAACTGGTAGCTCCACTCACACGCATGGAGAGAAATGACATATTACCTTATAAATGTCACTGTCCATTTGCAGGCCCCAGTTTGAGAGCTCCTGCTGGGCTTCAGGATTCCTCTTCACATTGCTGATGAACTCCATGAGAGAATTGTGTCTCAAGGATGGCCCAAGGCGCATGTGCTCAGATATTGCCTGCAATGGGGGAGCACAATGAGTTAACATGTACAAAACATTCATGAAACTTGCTCAATAGTCATCATGATCGACGCCATTAACAGCATCAACATTTTTCCAGCGCTTCCTTTTGCTAAATTCCATAGTTCTTACCCAAATTACATTACTTTTTTTAGAAATGCTTTTTGCGTTTAGTTTGTCATCCTTCCCCAGCACCTCCGAATGAATGGCACTGTTCGAAAGAAGTTCAAACATACACACATGGCAACATGTTTGCAACGCATAATACAACAACATGAGAGTAATTCAACAGAAGACGTAATAACTTTGTCACCTGTGTCAGTGCAATGTTGGTAAAAGATCTTAGCAAATGGAGCACAGCAATGGTTACTCCCCCCTCTCCTGTGCACCATATTTTTTCAACATTTTTTACAATCGTTTAAAGATATAGCACATTAACCGCATATAAGTCGAGCACCCATTAGTTAAATTTGTTCTCCTCTGAAGTTATCAAAGGAAGCTGCAATGTGGCAAAAACTGTATATATCTTTATGGTGTTGACAAACGGATAGAACTGCTGCATTGAAACGTACCGTCATATAGTAAACTGAATATAAGGCAGGACAAATGCCAATGATCCTTGTTTTAGGGTCTTAGTTCAAAGAGTTAGGACGATTAGTTAATTAAGTCATTAAAACAATCCAAAAATGTACAGACATACGTCTCCTGAAGGGGGGAAAACCCCCTTTAAGAGCTATGGCCGATTGAGAAATGGTTGATGATGCCAATGACATCACTAGGCTCCATTGAAAACCTCTCGTCCAGTGCTACATGCAGCACCTGAGGTGACTTCTTTCCCCCCCCCACTTCCCAAATTTTTTTCCCATGATATCTGGTTAAGTTGAGTAATCAAACTGATAATATGTACTCAATTACATAATGTTAAAGTTCAGCTCTAGTGTTACTTTTTATGGTACTCGACAAGGACACACACCATTTGAGCAACTTAACTGTCTTGGATTATTGAAAGAGCTACTCCAAAACGTACCCCAAGCAACAAAAATGCGAGTACTTCATAATCGCCTCATCCAAAAACAACCTCCAAAAACAACCAAAATCAACCTCCAAAAACAACCTTTGGCCAGAGGAAAAGCTTTTACTTGTCCACCGCTTCTGCAGCCATCATAATAACCCAGCAAATGGCATGATCGTAAAGACGATCCAATATAAATGATATTAGTAGTGGTGTTGCTATTAGGGGCTGAGTGTATATGTCACGCGCCACGTGACGTTACTCAGAAAGCAAAATTATCGCTAATTAAAAACACTGTACACCGAATAACAACCATCAGTTTAAAAGCGTTGCTGAATCCATGCATGTATCCTGATCAAGCCAAGCCCAAGTGTCATGCACAAGCATGGTATGAGAATCTGTGCAACATGCTACCTTCATCATGCTGAAGTCTGACCTCATCAGGTCGGTGATCCCAGTCATATAGGCGAGCTCTGGGATGAGGCAAATGGTCTGAATCACCACCTGCAAAGTCAATCGACACAAGCCCTGTTAACAGTCAGTACAATCTTAATTCCTGATGAATTAGCACTCACGCCTAGTGCTACTGGGTACTAAAAAAAACACCAGGCAAACTAAACAAAGCACCAGGCTTGTAATTCACAATACATTGCCATCATAATGAAACTGTAATTTCAACTGACCAAGTTTGCATAGCACTGCGACTTTAGCATGATTTAAGGAATAAGGACCTCTAGTTACACAAAAGCATTAAAAAGAATAAAATAAAAGACTTAACCTGATCATCTGTCCGATTCCTTTGCTTTGCTCGATGCAAGAGCAGTGGCTGCCCAAGGTCATCTATTGTAATTTCGTACTGAGTCCTGGGAAAAAAAGAGACGAGACTGGTGAAATGTAATGTGTCCTGGGTGAAAACAGCTGATACAGCTAAAAGTGAAAAGCCATATTTACACCTATTGTGTGTTATCCTCCTTTAGGTTAATTATAATTATTTTATATAGTGTTCATCATAGAATTGCATCACAAAACCCTGCAGAAAAATGCTTGCTGACCAGAGTCCGGCTAGCCGGATTCCGCGCTTTATTCTATTCGGGAATCCCTCCGCTTTAAGTTGCCACGTTGTGTGTTGTTTCGCATATATAAGTGCAATGTTTCGCACACGAGTTCTTTTAAAAACACAACAAAATTGGCCCTTACTTGTAGTACTCAACAAAAGACATGGTTTTCCCTGCCGAATTGAGGAAGGTACTCTTGGGTGTCTTGTCCCAGGCGATGTCATCGATGCGGTAGGTGCGATTGTTGTACCGCGTGATGACCACATGGCCCACCAAGGCCTTGGTGCACTCCTCCTGAAAGTTGGCGCTGCTTTGGCAGCTCTCGTACAGATGGGTCCTGTTAGCGGACATGCCACGATGCACGTTGACGATTGGGAGAGACATAAGAAGAGGACATGGGGCGGAGGGGGGGTGGGATGCGAAACCATAAGACTGGATACATTTAAACTCTGTAAAATGATTGAGAAAGGAATCAGAAAATAAATTGCAGAACACCACAAAAATCATTGGAAAATGTCATGGCCAGCAATTGGCAGAATAAATTTCGCAAAAGACAGGTTGAAAATTTTCAATTCACAAATGATAGCCCCTTACTTAGAAGATGGAACCATAACACGGCAGATATTATTTTTTATTTAGTGGAGGAATTTATGTTGACTTCGATAGCACAATAATGCATATAGCCAAGAAAATTAACCATTATTCTTCAGATGAAGGTGTCACAGTTGAAAAAAAAACAAGAGATTTTAAAAGTAAATCTCTTGGACCAGATAGTTTTAACTGTGGTCATGAAAGTAGTCGGGGTTCCATTGTTGGAACAACAGCAGTAACATGCATATTTGTTAAATTTTACATGAACATGGAAATATGACCAATTATTCTTCTAAAAAATTATGGTGAAAAAAACCCACTTATACTACAGATCCATTAGCCGCTTATTGCAACTATATAACTGTTCATATAGATAATTGGGAATTGAATAAAGTGAAATTTAGAAGCCAACAAATCACAGGAGAGAGAAAAGTTTACGAAAGATTTCTCTACCAGACCAAACACTATCATGTTGAACAAAAAACAATTCATTTTAATGCCACTGTGCCTAGCCTTTGTAGGCAAAAAAAAATATAAATTATATGTTGGAGGGACACAATTGGAAAACATATCAGAGAATATATATATACCTAGGGCAGTTATTTATTACAGGCAGCCCGGGATCAAAATGAAAGCTCACATGAGCAGCAGCACAGGGCCGCCCAACTTCATGCTACACTTACATGACCTCCAGCACGCTGTCCATGCGCAGAACTCGATGGGACACATCGAGCATCAGCATCAATCCACCGTCTTTCTTTTGCACAGCAACGACATAACCAGGCCAAATATGAATCCTGTGGGTAACGCGAAAGCACCGTTTACATGGCTACGTCATCCCAGTGAAGGAGAATAAGAATGCGGACGGAGGTGAGTTTGTAGTAAAACATTTGAACGCATGAACACGAGTAAGCATTATTAAATAAAATAGCAGAATATTAGGTTACTCTAGCAGCATTAGGAATCACATCTAAATGATATAATAAATATTTTAGTTTCAATGTATTTTTAGACATTGCTTAAGGGGGCAGTTTAAACGTATACATCTCAGTTCATAAAGCACAAGCCCAACACACCAAGCAGCAAGCAAAAAAACTAAACTATTGAAGGTGTATTAGATCAATGTTAATGTAAGGGATTCATAATCGTTAATATCTGCCCAGGGCAGAAATACAGATTCAAGTAAAGCACGGACTACATTGTAGTTGACCTGTATCTGTTGATGACGATTGGCTGGCGAGGATTCAAGTAACTTTTTCCAATCAACTTTAATTCCAGCAATCGCATTATCCTAAGCAGAGGAAACAAGGCAGGCTATATTGTTTCAAAACAACGCAACATCAGTGAGAAATGCAAGTACAAACTGCAGTAATATTAACACTATACACCGTCAAATTACATATTCTCACTTTTTAAATATGATGTTGTAGATGGGCAGACAGAGGTCTGAATCTGGCTTGATGATTTTGGTGCACTTGATTGACAGGGTTATCTCCACACCGTCTGAAATTCGCTTGGAAGTGAGGTTTAGCTGACAAACCCACAGTTAAAACACACACAAAACACAACATGAATATAACTTCAGTAAACCATTCTGGCAAAGAGAAAACATAACCACATAACAAGTTTAAACGGACATTAGATATTGCACCCAAAGCCTTAAGACCTCATGATTATTACCTTGTTGCAAGGGGACATCAAAATAATGTGTTAATATACTATGAAACAATTATTTTACCAGGTAAGTCCCACTGAGCTAAAAAGCTCTTTTCCAGAAGCGACCTGGCTACAAATGATAGCTCAACTAAGTGGCTCATCGCGTGGAATTTTTTTTTAGAGCAGCCAGATACGCTACACGCACATTTCTAAATGCGGAGGGAAAAACCGGACAAGCAGAACATTTCACACGACCATGGAGATAACATGCAGTCTCCAAATATTCAGGGTCTGAATCGAACCCACGGGGTAGTTAACATCTTGCCAACGTGACGCCACTTAACAGCCAAGCGGCTGGAAACACAACAGAGCATAAGGAAGTATGGCGGCAAACTGGGAGTTGGAAAACAATTAAGAAAGTCATGAGAACCTCCAGCACTTACGTTGTCGTCGAGTTTACGAGGCAGATACAGGACACACCCATCAAACGCTTTCGTGTTGCCGATCACCGACTTGTGCTCGTTTAGCAAGCCAAAGCGAGTATTCGTGCTGTCCACATCAGGGCTGTCCGAGGCGCAAGTGAGATCGTTAGCAGTCACGTATGGTTAAGACATGTCAAATGTCTCGATTAAGCTCGTGTACGGTGTACAGAAAATGGTTTGCTTAGCTGATAAACTCTTGAGACCCGACTGACTGACTGGAGAGTGAACCAAGAATGTGAGCTTACATGCACAAGCTCGCACACATAAGTTACCACTTCGTCGTGACATTTAAATGATGGCTGCTTCAGAGTTGTACACCCAAGTTTGCGACATCTTGTAAGAGCACGCTTGTACATTTAAATTAAAATATTGCATATTGCACTTGATAACATCCTGTTTAGACATTATCACACACGTCTATATGTATATAAAAGGGACATTTGTGGATGTGTGTCTGTTAGAAATGTTTAGCATACTTCCCAACATGCTACAAACTTGAAATTTGGCATGTGCGTAGCTCCCATACTGTACACAATGTAAAAAGTATAAAAATTAACTTTGGATTTTGGTGGGGGGGGGGTGGCAACGAAGCGTGTGGCGTCAACCCGCTTACAGGACTGGCGAGAATCGATATTTGGTGAGCGTTTGTGGTATCGATTGAACGGGAATAGGCCGATTCTAAAGAAATCTACAACCTTCGATTCCTTTGCTCGAATTAAATAATCGATTCTTGGCGCGTGAGCGTAAGTTTTTTTCCACCGCGCGTTGAGTTTTATTTTAATTAATCAGGTAATGATCAAAGTTTTCTTTTCATTAATCATTAAATTGCTTTAAAAATATATAATCAATTATAAAGAATAGGGTTATTGTGTGCAAACTTTACATGTAGCACGTTAAACGGTACAATGCCAATGGGTGTTTTATGTCAACATTTATTTAGGTAAATTATTATTGCAAGTACTTTTAATTCTTACCTATAAAAGTCATTTTTGTCTGTCTGTGTGCCTCTCTGTCTGTCCGTCTACGCAACTTGCGACTCTTAACTCAGAAACCGGGGTTTACATTTCTAACTTTAAAGTAGTTAAATTGACAATTTAGTACTATTAATTATTATATTAATACCCTGCGCAAAAGCACGCATCTTCGCATGCACGAAACGTCGTGGTTCCCATAGCAACGCACGTCGTGGTTCCCATAGCAACGCACGTCGTGGTTCCCATAGCAACGCACGTCGTGGTTCCCATAGCAACGCACGTCGTGGTTCCCATAGCAACGCACGTCGTGGTTCCCATAGCAACGCACGTCGTGGTTCCCATAGCAACGCACGTCGTGGTTTCCATAGCAACGCACGTCGTGGTTCCCATAGCAACGCACGTCGGGGTTCCCATAGCAACGCACGTCGGGGTTCCCATAGCAACGCACGTGGGGGTTCCCATAGCAACGCACGTCGGGGTTCCCATAGCAACGCACACGCGCGATCGGTCGGGGTGGGGAAAAATGATCATTCGCTTTAATGCAACAAAAAATGACACACAACGCTGAGGTAATTCTTCAAAGTGTCATGTCCTCTTCTCCCCCCTCCCACCCCAATGTGTGCAGTTACTATAGTCAGTATATACTGCTGCAGAGTCGGTATACAGGAATATAGATTCAGTAGATACTGCTATAGAGTCTGCATACTACTATAGAGTCTGCAGATACTACTATAGAGTCTGCAGATACTAATATAGAGTCTGCAGATACTACTATAGAGTCTGTAGTTACTACTATAGAGTCTGTAGTTACTACTATAGAGTCTGCAGATACTACTATAGAGTCTGTAGTTACTACTATAGAGTCTGCAGATACTACTATAGAGTCTGCAGATACTACTATTGAGTCTGCAGATACTACTATAGAGTCTGCAGATACTACTATGGAGTTAGTAGTTACTACTATAGTCTGCAGATACTACTATGGAGTTTAACACGTAGGCTTTCGCGACCAATATTATTCATAATAAAGGTACTCAAATTTTAAATGATGTTGATTCACTCTTCAACACACCGGTGGGCTGAAGTAGTGAACTATTTGTCCTTTGTAAACGTGACACATTTTTTACTGTTTGGCCATGTCGGGTGGTGGAGGGTTACGACACATTTATAAATAACGCGATCTAACCCAAAAACCTTTATTATCAATACTCCTATGAGGCTTTAAATCTAGAATCCTATGAGGCTATCCACATATACAAGCACAGAAACAATTTCAACCGAGAAGATGGATTCTGGCTTAGCAATCATTGGAAAGATTTGATTAACCATTTCAGGTCTTAATTGATCGTTCACGCTTACGGTGGCTTTCAGACAGCATACATTAATTTTTCGTCTCCCCCCTCCTCTTTTCAGAACATAGATGGACTAGTCCTTCTAAATAAACTGACAAATCGCTGCGCGTGGCGCTGACGGTTTTTAATAAATAAATAAATGCGCCGTTCTAAAATAAATAAATCGATGCAAACCGGCACACCTGATGATGACCGTTTGTGTTATGGTCAAAACGTGGCGAGAATTTTTATTGTTTTATATATATTTTATTATTTTATTGTTTCCCTTCAACGTGACTTTACCGAAAGAGCTAAGAATATGAATTACTGCAGTCACGAAAGCTTTAAATCAAAATTTTACTCCTATGGAGTTAGTAGTTACGACTACAGAGTCTGCAGATACTACTATGGAGTTAGTAGTTACTGCTATAGTCAGTAGATACTATTCAGTCAATAGATACCATTTTTAAGTAGTTAAATTGACGATTTAGTACTATCAATTATTATATTACTATGCTGAGCGCGCGCCAAAGAACACATCTTCTCATGCACGTAGCGTCGTGATTCCCTACAGTCATTGGATACTACTGCATAGTCAGTAGTTATTACTGTAGAGCCAGCACTAGATACTACTCACTCTATTGTATGCAGATACTACTATGTATGTGGGGTGTTTAGGTATATATGCCTACGCGGGGCACAAATATTTTTTGAAGGTGGCGGGGGGGGATCGACAATTTTTGAAACCTTTTAGAGCAACTATTTACCCCCCCCCCCCCCCAACTTTTTAGAACTTTTTTGACTTTTGTTGACAAATGGACAGACAAACCGCATGCCGGGCTTTCACAATAGCTTAGTAATTGTGTATGTATGTAATGTTTTTTAAGTTTTGAGAAGTTTTGAAATAAAATTTTCCCCCGGGCAATGCCGGGTACTTCCCGATAGTCTGGAATAATACATGTTAAGGAGTGGCAGTTCATCCTTAAACACACCTGCACAACACTTGCCACTGTTACAGCTAGAATACATCACAAGTCAACAGACAGTGTGCACCGGGGTCAATTATTTAAATATACTCTTTGGTTCTTTCGGTAAAGTCACATAGGTAGAAAAACGTCGTGATATGTATTTTATTTATTTTATTTTTATACCTACGTGACTTATCCGAAAGAACCAAAGAGTATGGATTCCTGCAGTCACGAAAGCTTCAAATCAAGAATTGAATATATGTAAGCATTCCGAGTGGGTGTGATAATCGTTTCGCAAATGCTTACCGTTTGAAGTTGTCAACTTTAAATGTGTACGTGTCATTATGTGAGCTGTTCCCCCTCAATATATTATCTCCAGGCTAATATATTTTAATAAATTCAAGTGGTGGGTCACCCTTACAAAATAAGTCAATGCTTCTTGTATCTCAACGGGTTAATTCCACCACCTGGTCAAATAAAGGAGACTCTACGACTGCCCGGCAGTGATGTAATCGACAAGTCTACAGACTAATTTGTAAAAATACAAGTCCCACCTGAATGTCACATGATACTGGTAGATGGCTTCGTTGGAGCACCTCAAACGGATGTAATTTGTAGCAATCTCCAGAGGAGTCCCATAGGTTCCGATTTTTTGTATAGGTTGCCTAACACAGCATTCCAGACGTAACAGCATGCCACACACATTAATAGTTACACCCAAGACCTACAAAAATATAAAAACACTTTTATGGTGCGATTTCAGCCAAGCAAAACCACAATTGTCAAGTCACTTTCACCCTTCTACATAACCAAAATGTTATCAGATGAAATGGGGGATTTTAGTTTTCCCTCTACACCAATTCTGACATCGGCACTATAACAAGAGACAATATTGAATCAGAACGCTAGCAGCAAGCGATGCATCGCTCTGTCAATGACAAGTCCCACAGAATGTCACCAATTTACCAGTGGAAATTACTTAAAACAGGTCTCCATCTACATCTTATTTCCACTGAAAAATTTGGATAACTGAATGAAGCTTAAGTAAAAGAAAACTACGTATAATATGAGAATAGGTTTTTCCCCTTTTATCTGGCAACATAATATACGGCTTTTTCCACAGTCACCGAAGACTGCTTTGGATGTGGCAATTAAAGTTCGAGAGCCCCCTTAAAGGGCTCATGGACTATGGACACACATATCAGTAAGATACTCTGAGAGCAAAGAGAGCATGTGTGTCCTTAAACCCACATTTGACCAGCATTAAGAGTTATGATTAAAAATCCCTCAAAACTGACAGGCTAAAAGCCATGGGCCTCTCCGAGGCATTCCATCACCTCCACACCACAGGGATTATTTTACAACAAGGAACCACAACGAGCCGCTCACTCACTCGACAGGGAGCGTGGCAACGGACAGCTCGCTGAAGGTTGACTCCAGGGAGGTCGAGCTGCCCGATTCCACCGAAGTGGACTTCGGCTGGCAAGAAGTCTCGGAGGGAGCCTGCAGTCCCAGAGAGGACGTGGGGGATGAGATGGACCTTCCCCGTCCACCTAACACTGCAATTGACAAGTGATTATATTTTGATTTAAAGCTTTCGTGACTGCAGGGATTCATATTCTTGGTTCTTTCGGTAAAGTTACGTAGAAGGGAAACAATAACATAATAAAAATATAAAACAATAAAATTCTCACGACGTTTCGACGGCAACACAAGCAATCATCATCAGGTGTGAAAACCACAGCAAGAAAATTTGAAAAAAGTGGCGGTTATTTTTAAAGTTAGCAACACGGAGAGCGATTTGACAGTTTGTTCAGATGGACGAGTCCATGTTCGGAAAAGAGGGGGGAGGCGAAAATAATGGATGCGGTCTGAAAGCCACCGTAAGCGTGAACAATCAATTAAGACCCAAAATGGTTTATCAAATCCTTCCAATGATTGCTAAGCCAGAATCCATCTTCCCGGTTGAAATTCATTCATGAGGCTAACTATTATATTCTTGGTTATTTCTCATGGCTACCATGAGAGATTCGTTCATGAGGCTATGTTTTATGTTTGTATTTTATTGTTTCCCTTCTACGTGACTTTACCGAAAGAACCAAGAATATAATAGTAATTATACTTTATACAGCGTTGTTCATGCAAAATGCACCTCAATGCTAGAAAAGACAACAGCAAAACATATTTATTGCCCCTTGCAAAAAAACATAGCACACCCAAAACAAGGTCAACTCAATTAAAGGCTATAGTAAACAATAAGCAACATGTTGCCAAGATATGGCAACGTTACATTAAGATGCCCTAACCAGATGACAATGGGACCTTAGTACCCCTCTTTTCTACTGGCATCTCTGAGCAGAGCCAGCACAGAACTCTCATGGACCCGGTAATTTTACACTCTAGAGAGCCCCTCTAGAGGTTGGTCAGCTCTTCATCCTGGCCAGAGGTTGGAAGTGGGAAGAGGTGGGAATACCACAATTTACCCCACCACACATGACCTGCTAATTATCTGTGAATGTACAATTAAACAAAAGCAACTAACCAGATAAGACTGCTCTAACCTGTATGAAAGACACTTTTCTGTTGAGCCAAATGGGCCCTGTCAGGACATGGCAGGGTAGCCCTGCTGGGCCCAATATACGAGACCCCAGATGAGCTTGGAAGCAAAGCCAATCCATGATCATCCCTCTCCAAGGCAGCAGTAGCACCGGGAGCAGCAAGGAGTCCCTGCTGTATTACGCCTCGTCCGAAGCTTCAGCAAAGCGCGCACAGAGGACAAATTACACAACCATACAAGTGGGCAGAAGATGTACACGTTCCAAAAAAAAACGAAATGTGCACATGAGCAGCATAACAATGGACACGGTCACTGTGAATTCTGCGTAAACAATGTATTCATTAAACAGATTATAAACACATCAGTTATAGATTGAGTACCATATATGGTCTGCCAGGAAAGCTTTCATTATAATTCATAAACATCATTCCATTACTTTATTTATCAATGCATAATTAAGATGCCTGGGAAATTCAAAAACTAACAACAAAGTTGGACTTACCTAATAACTTCTTTCCCGATTGGCCCCGTTTCTGCACCTCTGTATAGTCCACTGCTTGAGGAAGTCACCGACGGTTTTGATTCCTGTAACCCCTGGGCGACCTGTCTTCCAGCATTCCCAGCTGATAAAATTCCTCGACCTATTGTATTGGAATAATTTTGGTTTAAATGCAAGAAACATTAATTAGCTTTTCTGTCCAATCTGTATGTATGATGTTTTTTTGTGATCAGAGTTCTCAATTTATAATAAAAAATGACTTCATATTGCAGTCAGTGGTCCACTCAGCCCATCAACCCTCCATGATCAATAATTTTATTACTAAATTAGCTATTACGTCAAAAGTGGTCACACTATGGAGAGTGACTATAATTATGGAAATGTGGAATTCCTGCCACTGGTTAAAAGTTATCAACAGAGGTGAGTACTGCCCAGTGTGATGTAACATGTGCTTCGTAGACATGACCACACACCAAAACACTCCTTCGCATATTTACACAATGGCAGGAATGACAATGCTCTACTGTACTATGCAATTGAAAAAATAACCCCCTATTTATAAAGTTCAGCTGCTTTAGAGCATCTGAGCGATAGGGTGCAGGGCGACTAGGGGTTTACCAAAATAATTTGGCTGCCATTTAAAGTCCACCACTCCTCACAACTACTTGCAATCGTCCATCAACTATGAGTTTTACTGATATAATGTTTTGGTCTGTTTCTTCCATATGTCCCTTTCATGTATATGAAAAATGCACCTCAATGCTAGAAAAGACAGCAGCAAAAAATATATTTATTTCTCCTTGCTACAACACATAGCATACCCAAAGCAAGGTCAACTGAATTAAAAGCTGTATTAAACAATAAGCAACATATTCTTGGTTCTTTCGGTAAAGTCACGTTGAAGGGAAACAGTAAAATTGTATCAATATACATTATTATTTATATATTTTATTTTATTGTTTCCCTTCAACGTGACTTTACCGAAAGAACCAAGAATATGAATCACTGCAGTGACGAAAGCTTTAAATAAAAATTAGCAACATGTTGCCAAAATATGGCAACGTTACATTAAGATGCCCTAACCAAATGACAACAATGTCAATGGGACCTTAGTACCCCTCTTTCCTACTGGCATCTCTGAGCACAGCCAGCACATAACTCTCATGGACCCTGTGATTTTACACTCTAGAGAGCCCCTCGAGGTTGGTCAACTCTTCATCCTGGCCAGAGGTTGGAAGTGGGAAGAGGTGGGAATACCACAATTTACCCCACCACACATGACCTGCTAATTATCTGTGAATGTACAATTAAACAAAAGAAGCAACTGAACGGAGAAGTCAGCTTTCACCTGCATGAAGGACACTTTCCTGTTGAGCCAAACGGCCCATGTCAGGACATGGCAGGGTAGGCCTGCTGGGCCCAATATACGAGACCCCAGATGAGCTTGGAAGCAAAGCCAATCCATGATCATCCCTCTCCAAGGCAGCAGTAGCACCGGGAGCAGCAAGGAGTCCCTGCTGTATTACGCCTCGTCCGAAGCTTCAGCAAAGCGCACACAGAGGACAAATTACACAACCATACAAGTGGGCAGAAGATGTACACGTTCCAAAGAAAAACTAAATGTGCGAACGATCAGCACACAATGGACAACAAGTTAACAGTTAATTCTGCATAAACAATGTATTTATTAAACAGATTATAAAAACATATCAGTTATAGATTGAGTACCATATAAGGTCTGCCAGGAAAGCTTCAATTATAATTCATAATTTCATTACTTCATTAAGCAATGCATAATCAAGATGCCTGGGAAATTCAAAACTAACAACAAAGTTGGACATACCTAATAACTTCTTTCCCGATTGGCCCCGTTTCTGCACCTCTGTATGGTCCACTGCTTGACGAAGCCACCGACGGTTTTGATTCCTGTAACCCCTGGGCGACCTGTCTTCCAGCATTCCCAGCTGATAAAATTCCTCGACCTATTATTGTATTGGAATAATTTGGTTTAAATGCAAGAAACATTAATTAGCTTTTCTGTATGTATGATGGTTTTTCTCAATTTCTAATAAAAAAAATGACTTCATATTGCAGTCAGTGGTACACTCAGCCCATCAACCCTCCATGATCAATAATTTGATTACTAAATTTGTATTACGTCAAAAGTGGTCACACTATGGAGAGTGACTATAATTATGGAAATGTGGAATTCCTGCCACTGGTTAAAAGTTATCAACAGAGGTGAGCACTGCCCAGTGTGACTTAACATGTGCTTTGTAGACATGACCACACACCAAAACACTCCTTCACATATTTACACAATGGCAGGAATGACAATGCTCTACTGTACTATGAAATTGGAAAAAAAAACATGAGCCCCTATGTATAAAGTTTTGGATGAACATCATGTTCCATTCAGCTGCTTTAGAACATTTGAGCTTTCAGGTGCAGGGCAGACTAGGGGATGACCAAAATAATTTGGCTGCTATTTAAAGTCCACCACTCCTCACAACTACTTGCAATCATCTATAAACTTTGAGTTTTACTGATATAATATTTTGGTCTGTTTCTCCCTCGTGTCCCTTTAATGTTCCAGATTGTGTAGCAGCAAGCCATCACCCAATCCTTCCTCTTTGTTTGCAGTTTTCTTTTCTTGGGAGGGAAAAGTGTAGAATTACTGAAACCCCTCCCCCATTTTGCCTTCAGAGGCTAACTCCTTTGCCTGAAGACGACCGCTCGTGTTGCGATCGAAACGTCGTAGTTTCTTGTTATTTTCTTTGAACCTATCTACGTGACTCTACCGAAAGGCCCAACGAATACGAACCCCTCCCATGTTACGGCTTTGCTTTCCTTATTTATATTTTGAAGAAAAAAAAAAAGGAAACAATTTGCTCGGTGTAATGACAAAACTATCATCTAAAATGTTCAAGAGTATGAAATGTCATTTCACACCATTGCCTTCTTGAGTCAAAATAAATTCAGATGCAATGTAGCTGGAAACATTTTTTATACCATGGGACATACCGAAAAAGCTGAGGCCAGGGCCCAGAGCCCCTGGGGGTCTGTGCTGCAGGCTGGCCAGCAAAGTGCTACTCCGGCCCATACTTCGAACCTGATGATTATAATTAAGGGTTCACGTCACTATGCAAGCAAACACAAACAGTATTTCGCATTCCTACACGTTCACAGAGTATTTTTTTGCATTCAGCTCAGAACGCCATTAAAAATGTGACTCAAAATAGTAAGACTTTCTGAAAAAAAATACCACCTTATTGTTTTTCTGTCGTGAAAAAGGCGACTTTAAATTCTGCCCTGAAAAATGTTAAAATGCCTAAAACTTCTTATACCAAAGTACAACACGCACATCACATTGAAAAATGATAGTTAATCTAGTAATGCCCTGATGTTATAAGGGATACAGACGACTCCGTGAGCCTCTGAAATATACCAAAAAGGTAATAAGGGGCCGTCCATAAATGACGTCATGCGATTTTGGACAAATTTTTACCCCCCCCCTCGTCACAAAAAGTAAGACCCCCCACCTCAAATATGATGTCACAAAGCTCTGTCCCCCCCCAAAAAAAAACATGCTTCAAATCGCTCTAAACTATTGTCATTGTAGTGCGCATTTAATGCGGCGCTGCACTCTGATGTTGTAGGAGAAAACATTTATTAAAAAGTCTATTTAATTAAGTAGAACGTGCTGTCTATATTTATTTAAAGTTGCGCATTTTCATGCGACGTCACATTTCTCAACCCCGCCCCCCCCCCCCTTCGTCACACATCGTCACAAATGTCTGACCACCCCCCTTCCCCCTAGGTGCGTGACGTCATTTATGGCCGGAACCCCATAAATTGCAATGGAAAATGATGACGGTTAATGACAACTTCCGATGCAGCACATCATCACCTGCATTTGGTCATCGGCTGCCCCTGCCGTTGTGGGCTGCTGCTCCGGGCCGTGCTGGGCAGCACGTGGAGTCTCTGGCACTTTTGGCTCGGTTGGAGGCAGCATGGAGCGACCCCTGCCAAAACGTCTCTCTCCTTGCTCTGCCATCCTCTACGGTCAAGAGTAAACGTCAACACAATATTGATTATGACGATAGCAGGAATAACATTAAGTGTCGCAGAGGCATATGCTGCTGTCCTCTTGTGAAAACGCGAATAAACAGTACCGATATAGTGTATCAGAGGGGCCCCTGTCAATAACATCTGGCAGTTTGCCAGCATTGATTTAAGCAAACCTGTCTCTGCTGATGAGACCGCACATCTAAAACGGTGCAATTGTTTTTGTTACTGAATCAATGCTGCTGAAATGATGTACTTCCTAAAGGCCGTGGGGCCACAGGACTGCATTAAAACAATTGTTGAGACGAATAAATTGAGAGTTACATTTTTCATTGCCATTATATTACAGTACATTAATACCATTTAACCTCCCAGTGACCTAACACCACAGCTCACATCCAACTCTCGAAGCCCAACTGACGACCACGAGGGCATCACGTGACAGACGATGTGCGTGATCCTCGAGGACCCCTCCCGGCTCACCCCCGAGCCGTCGGAGCAGGGTCCCCTCCCCCACGTGGGGGGGTCCCCCCCTCCCCCACGAGGGACACAGGTACGGGGGGGGTCCCCTCCCCCACGAGGGGGGGTCCCCTCCCCCACGAGGAACACCGGGACGAGGGGGGGTCCCCTCCCCCACGAGGCACACAGGGACGGGGGGGTCCCCTCCCCCACGAGGAACACAGGGACAAGGGGGGGGTCCCCTCCCCCACGAGGGGGGGTCCCCTCCCCCACGAGGGGGGGTCCCCTCCCCCACGAGGGGCGGTCCCCTCCCCCACGAGGAACACAGGGACAAGGGGGGGTCCCCTCCCCCACGAGGAACACAGGGACAAGGGGGGGGTCCCCTCCCCCACGAGGAACACAGGGACAAGGGGGGGGGTCCCCTCCCCCACGAGGGGGGGTCCCCTCCCCCACGAGGGGGGGTCCCCTCCCCCACGAGGGGGGGTCCCCTCCCCCACGAGGGGCGGTCCCCTCCCCCCCAGGGGGGGTCCCCTCCCCCACGAGGAACACAGGGACGGGGGGGGGTCCCCTTCGTTAACTCAATCAGCGACTCTCTCTCGTCCCCGGTTGGAGAGAGTCGTGACCCCACGACACGTGTGTGACGCTTGTGTGTGTGTATGCAGCGCACGCAAATGTGCAATTTACGAACTTTCGGAGGCGCCATAAATAAAACAAGTTTCTTTATGTAGCACAGGGAGCTGGTTCCCCCAAAACCCCGCAATAAGGGATCCAGGTCGTGTTACTTTAGAGGACGTTGAACGGCTTGGGAAAAACACACACACATTGCGCAACAATACTTCAACTAATGCAAACACAAATATGCAGATGTAAAAAAGTATATTAAACCGTACTTAACGTTATATACAATGTGCAGTATTGACTACAGCATGTATAAGCAACTGTGGCAAATAATAAAAAACGGGAGCACTGTACAGTACTACATACTGTACATCGGAAACCAGCTTATAATAGGTAGGCGCACGTCTTAACGTGTATCAAATAACGAGTGTTGTATATAGCGTGGATATGTAAGATGTCACTTTGTTATCAAAGAAAAGTGATCAAAGTAGACAAACCCCGCTAAAAAAAACGAACACACTTTGTAGAACACTTTCCCGTGTTGAGGTGACGGTCATCGGAAAACAATGGGGTATCTACAGATGGATCCGCTAGAGATAAGCGTCACAAGTGATCTTCTCTATTCCCGTGTTCCCGGCTAGGACGTGCTGTTTGCGCCGGTATTCTGAGACAAAGGTTGAGGGAGCGAATTAAAAACGTTGGGCTCGTGTGACCACATTTTCAAAATAAGCCATCGTCAGGTACAAATGTAGCTCCTCCTCCTCCCCCCGCCAATATTTGACTTACTGAAGCGTCTCAAAAGCCTAATATAACAACCCCAATTGGCGACGCAAAAGTCGCAACACCTCCTGCACAAATGCGTTTTCAATCGAGATTTAAAAGTGCCACAGCTCCAGTGGCTTCCGAACGGATGAGCGTTCCAGACGGCCGCAATAATACACTGGTGTAGCCATCATTAGACCGGATGCCACATCTCCTACATAAACACGAAACGAGGCTATACCAAAATAAACTTCACTGAACTGAACGAAAGACACAACCCTCAGTCGCGTGCGGCCGTGACCACGGAGGTGGCCTTGCGCTCCTCCACGAACAAACTCTCTCCAAAAAGCCCCTCTCTCTCGTCGCCGCCGCCGCCGCCAGCAGACCTAAGGCATAATCATTCAGCGCCTGCTACTTTAGAGATTTGCCATTCGACGCAATCGAACGGAGTCGGGATGGTACCGAATGGACGAGCGAAACTTCACTCGCGGCGACGATGACCACAGGCACCGCGTGGCACTCCAACTCGCCCCGCCACGTGTCCGCCACGACCCCTCCACGTCACGTGACTCTCCCCGCCGCGCCGCCGCTCGATTGGTCGATTCGATCACCCGGCCCAAATTTTTGAAAGTGTCCAATCAGAGGTCGTCTAACGGCAGCTCGATGTGGGAGCCCTCCCTCCCCCTCCCTCCCTCCCCCTCCCTCCTTTTCAATCTCGCGAGACCTCGTGAGCCAAGTGTAGTTTGGGAGCACGCTCTGAAATCTCGCGATAACTCGCGTTGTTGCTGGGGGCGGCGGCGGCGGTGGCGGTGTGTGTGTGTATAGCCACCGCATGGCCAAGCAGCTTTTGTTTTGACCGCATCGAGTGGGGGCTAAACGGGCACGACACGGGCTGGGGAGAAGAGATGGAGCTGATGCGGTAGGGGGAGGACGTGGGGCTGAGTGGACGACTTGCCGACGACCGGTACCAGCGGTGTCAAGATCGACCTCCGTGGGAGGAGGCTCGTGAAGGACGCTGCTGATGCTGGGCAGTTGGAGGCAGTCGCCCTCCAGCAACGACGGAGGGTGGAGGAGCGACGCTCACAACAACGAGCGGAACGCCGGGCGGGTTAAAGGAACCAAGTTGGAACAGTGGTCCAGCTGGTGGTGCATCTTCCGGTCATCTCAGTCGGTCGACTCATGGCACCTGCTGGGGTCTGTTCACGCGGTCTCAAAGTGCACCTAGCCTGGCACAGCAGCCGTGGTGACGCCACCGTAACTTAGTGTCGGATGGCGACTTTTGGTATAGAACCATTGCCGTTATGGGCCACGATCAATCCACTGCTTAACGAAGGCCTCCTCCACACAACGTCGTCTTGTCGATGCAGTCATCCACCGCTCCTCGTCATCCACGCAACCGACGGGAATGTGGAATTTCGCAAACTCTGTTACACTACCGGTCTGTAATGGACCAAATATTGCTGCAAAAAAAGGCCGCACTCCCAAAAGGTCCGTGTGGCTGATTGGGATGTGTAAAAATATGTACAGTGAGGGAGAAAAAGTATTTGATCCCCTGCTGATTTTGTACGTTTGCCCACTGACAAAGAAATGATCAGTCTCTAATTTTAATGGTAGGTTTATTTGAACAGTTAGAGACAGAATAACAACTAAATTCAGAAAAACGCATGTCAAAAATGTTATAAATTGATTTGCATTTTAATGAGGGAAATAAGTATTTGACCCCCTCTAAATCAGAAAGATTTCTGGCTCCCAGGTGTATTTTATACAGGTAACAAGCTGAGATTAGGAGCACACTCTTAAAGGGAGTGCTCCTAATCTCAGCTTGTTACCTGTATAAAAGACACCTGTCCACAGAAGCAATCAATCGATCAGTTTCCAAACTCTCCATCATGACCAAGACCAAAGAGCTCTCCAAGGATGTCAGGGACAAGATTGTAGACCTACACAAGGCTGGAATGGGCTACCATTGCCAAGCAGCTTGGTGAGAAGGTGACAACAGTTTGTGCGATTATTCGCAAATGGAAGAAACACAAAAGAACTGTCAATCTCCCTCGGCCTGGGGCTCCGTGCTAGATCTCACCTCGTGGAGTTGCAATGATCATGAGAACGGTGAGGAATCAGCCCAGAACTACACGGGAGGATATTGTCAATGATCTCAAGGCAGCTGGGACCATAGTCACCAAGAAAACAATTGGTAACACACTACGCCGTGAAGGACTGAAATCCTGCAGCGCTCGCAAGGTCCCCCTGCTCAAGAAAGCGCATATACATGCCCATCTGAAGTTTGCCAATGAACATCTGAATGATTCAGAGGACAACTGGGTGAAAGTGTTGTGGTCAGATGAAACCAAAATGGAGCTCTTTGGCATCAACTCAACTCGCCGTGTTTGGAGGAGGAGGAATGCTGCCTATTACCCCAAGAACACCATCCCCACCGTCAAACATGGAGGTGGAAACGTTATGCTTTGGGGCTGTTTTTCTGCTAAGGGGACAGGACAACTTCACCGCATCAAAGGGACGATGGACGGGGCCATGCACTGTCAAATCTTGGATGAGAACCTCCTTCCCTCAGCCAGGGCATTGAAAATGGGTCGTGGATGGGTATTGAAGCATGACAATGACCCAAAACACGGCCAAGGCAACAAGGGAATGGCTCAAGAAGAAGCACAGTAAGGTCCTGGAGTGGCCTAGCCAGTCTCCAGACCTTAATCCCATAGAAAATCTGTGGAGGGAGCTGAAGGTTCGAGTTGCCAAACGTCAGCCTCGAAACCTTAATGACTTGGAGAAGATCTGCAAAGAGGAGTGGGACAAAATCCCTCCTGAGACGTGTGCAACCTGGTGGCCAACTACAAGAAACGTCTGACCTCTGTGATTGCCAACAAGGGTTTTTCCACCAAGTACTAAGTCATGTCTTGCAGAGGGGTCAAATACTTATTTCCCTCATTAAAATACAAATCAATTTATAACATTTTTGACATGCGTTTTTCTGGATTTTGTTGTTATTCTGTCTCTCACTGTTCAAATAAACCTACCATTAAAATTATAGACTGATCATTTCTTTGTCAGTGGGCAAACGTACAAAATCAGCAGGGGATCCAATACTTTTTTTCCCTCACTGTATGCATGCCTGTTAAGTGCAGCTAAACCAACCCGTCGTTCTGAGCTCGTTGCAGTTCTCATTGAGAACACCACTTGCCTTGTGTTTAAATGATATCCATCAGGGCAAACTAGCAGGAAATCCCCGGCGTTGAACGGGTGCTTTTGTGAATGTCGAGTGGCTCAATCACTCGAAGGAGGGCTCAATGGCGTTACAGCAACTGTAAAGATTTCGCTTTGCCATGGGCCCTTTAAATAAATGTAATGTAACGTGCCCACAATAGGAGGGTTACGGCATGATACGGCGAAGTTTGTTTTGAAGCATGGACGAAGCCGTGTTGTTTGTTTCACGGAGCTTGACTGTTAATTGGAATCACCAAACGTTTAATTCTGTTGATGCAATCAACGACGATTGTTGATTAACTTGATGATGATGATGATGAGGAGGGGGTCATGATGAAATTTGTTGGATGTGCGGGGCCAGGTTCACGTGTGCTGGGTTAGGGATTGTGGTGGCGTCACTGGGAGCGGCTGTGGGGTGCCCCTATATACAATGTCTGCTCGCCATGTGGCCAAGGTTTTCTGCGGGGTTTTCAAAGGTAACCCACCCTGCGATAGCTGTAACCTGTCTGGATTTGTATTCGGAACAGACATTCCATTTTATTACATATCGAAGATGGAAGTTGGGCATTGGCCACTTTCTCCCAACGTTTATGTCAATTCAAAATTGTACGGTACTCAATACGTTGAGATTGAAAACGTCAAAAGTGAGGATTTTTTTCCGATTGTAAGGTATAATGACATACTTAACAATCGGAAAACGAAATGCAAACTTTCTTAGCCGCAGGTTCAAACTTTAAATTTGTACGTTTTGTGGGGGGAAAGGTGCGAGATAAAAAAAACGTACATAACTTTGGTTTATGGCTTTGAAAGTGCAGGACCCTTCAAAATAAGGATACAAAACTCATACGCCTGGGTTAAAGAAAATCCCATACAATTCACGTGTAGGTCTTGAATGAAACTACACTAATATCATACTATATGTTGTGAAATAGTATTTACCTTTCTGAAAAAAAGTTTGAAACTTATTTTCTTTATTGAAGAACTTAGGTGCTTCCTTTCATTGGTCTGGCACTTGCTTATCGGATGGCTCTCACGTTTCATGTGGCTCCCACGTTTCCTCAAGGATTAAAGTGCTTTATTGAGTTCCTATTTGATGCAATAAATATGCAATACAATACATATACAATACTTAATACTCCTATTACTCTTTGGTTCTTTCGGTATTTACCAGGTAAAGCCCACCAAGATCTTTGCTCTTTTTCAGAGGTGACCTGGCCACACACAGCTCACCGTAGTGGCTTAGATGTGGGAATTTATAAGAGCCAAATAATATAAATGGGGTAAAACTGGATGACCCAGAGAGAAATCCATACGACCACAGGGAGAACATAACTCTAATCACAACATACTGCAATGTACATGTACAGTCCTTGAATATTTGTGGGCAATTGATTAATTTAACACTTTTTTTTATTGGGGGAGGGGTGAACTATATTAAAACATGCATAACACGTCAAATGCACTCTTGCAAATGTCAAGCAAAACTGAATATAACCTGTCTGGTCTTCCATAAAATTAATTGTCCATGGGATTTTTGAAAACTGGATTCTCCATTACTGAAGTACTCAAAAACTTAGCAACATTATAATTATGAAACGTGGAGGGTATTCAAAATATTTTTCATCACTTTAAAATAACCATGTAGAGAGTCCTTTTTCAATCCACTGTTGGACGAAACCCCACCCCCCCCCCCCGATGGGATAGTCATGGGCAGGGGTCGGCAACCAAAATAAAAAGCCATTTTTTCAGGAGCTACAATGCATATGAATGAGATGGTCCTTAAAGAGCCGCATGTTGCTCCGGAGCCACAGGTTTCTGATCTCTTGTCATGGTGGCGGTGGTTGGTTGACCATATTTCATGCTGGTCTGTGTTGGTTGGTAAACGAGTGGCCCAGAAACGGTTGATATGGCCGCTGGTGAAATCGAATTAAGGTAGCCAGTTTCAATGCACTTTACACTAACCACTGGGCCACCACTCCACTGCCGATTTAATTTACTCCTACCATGCAATATGAAAAAGAAGTAAGGAAATACCTCTTCAACTTTACAAGACCAGACAGGTTTGTTTTGTGAAAAGGTATATTTCTGTAATCTGTGGTCCTAAAGTCTGGAAAGCCGATCATGACCTATATAGTTTATAACTGGCATGCATACATTTCCAGGTGGACAATATATCAGACAATGTTTTGGTTATATGACGAATATGAAGACAAAAAGAACAGTACAACATCACATATCTAACTTGCCAGGGATTGAGGTATAGGCAGCTATGCTAAAAGCTTAGAAATTAGTTCAACCTTTTGGGTCACAGGGTTGCCACGATATGCAGGTAGTACAAAATATTGTACAATGTAATATCCATATTAATTCTATCGTCCATTTTGTAATATATCGTTATAGTTGTTCATGTTATTCAACATGATTTTCCCCGACAAAATATGGACCAAAAAACTGAACAAAATTTTTAATAGCTATTATCCAATACATTGGGTGTGGGCGGTTACACGATCGTGGAAGATATGCGACATTGTACTGTACTTAAATAAATGTAATCTCTTCATAAAGCAACAAAGATGAGAGATGTAACTGCAAGCAATTTAATACTGCTTATATTTTCACTATATAGTAATTTTCCCACTTGCATGCAAAGATTACATCAACATTTACAGCGGGACTTTAAACATACACTACAAGATAGAGCATATAGTTCCTACCCTTAATCGAGAGGCTGTATGCCTTTTTACATGTGTTAAACATTTATCTTAACACAACTGAGCAACATTTATTACGTGTTTTTTTGTTGTTGTTGTTGCAGATTTTGTAATATGTAAGTAGGTTTTCGTATTTGTACTATATTGCTCTCCGATGTGTGTTCAGGTTGTACCACACTTTTGGCATGATGTTCAAGAAGAAGCTTCCAGCATGGCGAACAACTCGCAGTACAACCAACAACCACATCAGAGTGATACATCTGCTGAAACTGTGACATTCACGTGTGTGTTTTGTTTCACCACATGACAGTGTTTCAGATGACACTACCAGAGCACGATGGCCTGCATTGTTAACTCCTAAATTGTTGTAACAATATGGACTTCGAGACATACCGTGGGTTGTGATGCAATATGAATTACAGTATTCAAACTGATTTGAGATAGGAAATAGTAGAAGATGCCTTTAGATAACTTCTACATAGCCATAACATTTTGAGAACTTGTTCTCACCTCCAATTTTAATATCTTAATTCAAATGTACCACTTAACAGATCAAGATCACCAAGTATTCTGCTAATACAACATTAAATAAGATTTTGGGCCTCCAAACTTTATAGACTGTAATAAAGTTGAAAAATAACCACGAGTTTTTCTGCAGGGTTTTATTTAATGTTTACTGTACTGTATTTGAAAAGCCTTGCAACAGTCAATCGTTGTGATGAGATGTGGCTGAAATCTGCATCACGGATCTGATTACACAGACATGACCATCAAAATACATTAAACTAAGGTTTCTTCTACTCAATTATTGAATTTTTACAAATAATTGTAGTTGTGCTTTTTAATTGTGACTCGTATTGCATTTCATAATGGCTAGTACGAGTACAGAGAAAGGAAAATACATCCACATATATTTCAGAAATATGATTCTTGTCCTCTGGTTGCCTTCAGAAATCCTCACCTTTAAGGAAAACACACGACTTGTCAACATGGAAATACGTGTACAGTATAAAAGTATATTTTAAACAACACATTTCAGTTATTAACGTAGAGTAAGGTGTGCTATTAAACTTACTACAATATATCCATAATTATTATTATAATGAGTATTTTAAATAATGAGTGATCGTAACTTATACTACATAATTTTTAAAAATATAGTAAAAATGTTACCTTACCATCTGTCCATCCGTTTTTTTCCCGATTTAACCATTTCCGGGGGCATTTTGATAGACATTTTTGGGGGCTTTGGGTGAATTCTTGGCCAAGGATCCCACTTTATTCATAATGACATCCACCTTGGAGAACATGGTGCTGATTGACTGCTCGAGGTTATCAACATTTTGCACCAGTCTGTAGAGCAAGTGGCACAAACACATTTGTAATTTCTATGCTGTTCATGTGATGTATTAGTGGGGTATAGAAACTATCCATCATCTTGCATGCTACCTGTTTACATGCAAAGTATATTTCCAATTCCATTTGGATGATTTATTCATTGAAATATCATTGCAGCTAAATAAACGCCATTTGAAAGATTGTTCTTCACCTTTTATACACATTATATAAAGTACTATGGTATGAAAGAGCAGTGGTTAACGTACTACATTATAAATCCAGCGATCCGGGTTTATTCTCCGCTATTGCAAACATTAGTGGAAATTATAAATGAACCGCTATTGGGTCCCTGCAGTCCATGAACCCAAGCTGACCAGTGTGGTGAAGTATGGTCAAACAACTCACACAACCAACATGGCATGCGGAGGCCTTCATCAGTAGATAAAGGCTAATCTATGATCAAACTATATATGTCATTGACATGTTTTCCTTACAATAAATAATTAATGCTTGCCAATTGTCATCGTAATATAAACATTCCAGCAGTGAGCATTTGTGCTACCTACAGTACTGTACAGTCACAATAAGCCAGAACCCGGTCTACAATGGTGTTTGGTCTCCTCTCTCTCGGTCATTTACATTTTATTTATGGCGATCTAAGACAAAGAGAACCACAATGCAGTTGTTAAGGAACTGCTGATTATTTCTGGGTTAGGGGCCATCCATAAATGACGTCACGCACCTCCGGGGGGGGGGGGGGGGTCAGACATTTGTGACGATGTGTGACGAGGCGGGGGGGGGTTTGAGAAATGTGACGTCACATCAAAATGCGCAACTTTAAATAAATATAGACAACACGTTCTACTTAATTAAAGACCTTTTTTTTTATAAATGTATTCTCCTAAAACATCAGAGTGCAGCGCCACATTAAATACCTAAATACGCACTACAATGACAATAGTTTAAAGTGCTTTGAAGCATGGTTTATTTTTTTTGGGGGGGGGGGGGGGGCAGAGCTTTGTGACGTCATATTTGTGGGGGGGGGTCTGACTTTGTGACGCCGTGTGACGAAGGGGGGTGGGGTCAAAAATCGCGTGACGTCATTTATGGACGGCCCCTTATACACAAATGCGGAGTGCATTTCGTACACAATGTTGTTTGTCATGCGGCTCGACAGCATTTGTTGTGATCAATTTCCATTGGCTGTTGTAATTACTATGTCATCAGCATATCTTCGATGGTTAATTTCTCCACTTAAGTTGTTTATGCATTTAGCGCTACAGTCCAAGTTTCTGAAAATTACATAATTTACTTTAAATAAATGTTGGTGTATATCCTTACCTTACTCCCCTTATGATATGTACTGTGAACATTTTTGACCCCCCCCCACTTCGTCACACGGCGTCACAAAGCTCTGCCCCTCCCCCCCCAAATAAAACATGCTTCAAATCGCTTTAAACTATTGCCATTGTAGTGCGTATTTAATGTGGCGCTGTACTCTGATGCTGTAGGAGAAAACATTTATGAAAAAGTCTACTTAATTAAGTAGAACGTATTCTTAGTTTTTTCGGTAAAGTCACGTTGAAGAGAAACAACAAAATAACAAAATATATATAAAACAATAAAAATTCTCACGACGTTTCGACCATAACTCAAACGGTCATCATCAGGTGTGTCGGTTTGCATAAATTTATTTTGAAAACGGCATATTTATTTATTTATATATAAAAACGTTTGCGTCACGCGCAACGATTGGCAGTTTGCCCAGGACTAGTCCATCTATTTTTTGAAAAGAGGAGGGGGGAGACGAAATTTGTTTTTATGTATGCTGTCTGAAAGCCACTGTAAGCGTGAACAATCAATCAAGAACTGAAATGATTTATCAAATCTTTCCAATGATTGCTAAGATAGAATCCATCTTCTCGGTTGAAATTGTCTCTGTGTTTGTATATGTGGATAGCCTCATGAACGAATCTCTCATGGAAGCCAGATGGCTTACAAAGAACCTCCGTCTTGGAGAAGTCAATGTCATGTGAGCCTACTGAATTATAACAATGATCTGCTACGGCCGAGGTGTTGGTCCTACCGTGTTTAAGGTCTGCTTTATGTTCACGAATGCGGTCCGAGATATGGCGTTTGGTTTCTCCAATGTAACTACTACCACAGAGGCAACTTAGTTTGTAGACACCAGGGTATTGTATGTCTGGAATCACATCTTTTGTAAGCCATCTGGCTTCCATGAGAGATTCGTTCATGAGGCTATCCACATATACAAACACAGAGACAATTTCAACCGAGAAGATGGATTCTATCTTAGCAATCATTGGAAAGATTTGATAAATCATTTCAGTTCTTGATTGATTGTTCACGCTTACAGTGGCTTTCAGACAGCATACATAAAAACAAATTTCGTCTCCCCCCTCCTCTTTTCAAAAAATAGATGGACTAGTCCTGGGCAAACTGCCAATCGTTGCGCGTGACGCAAACGTAATTTTTATATATATAAATAAATATGCCGTTTTCAAAATAAATTTATGCAAACCGACACACCTGATGATGACCGTTTGAGTTATGGTCGAAACGTCGTGAGAATTTTTATTGTTTTATATATAGTTTGTTATTTTGTTGTTTCTCTTCAACGTGACTTTACCGAAAAAACTAAGAATATGAATTACTGCAGTCACGAAAGCTTTAAATCAAAATTTAAGTAGAACGTGTTGTCTATATTTATTTAAAGTAGCGCATTTTGCTGTGACGTCACATTTCTCAAACCTCCCCCCCCTCGTCACACATCGTCACAAATGTCTGACCCCCCCCCAGGTGCGTGACGTCATTTATGGACGGTCTCTAATGCAACATTAGTGTAGTGAACACTCACCAGCCAACATAATCTGTTGTAAAAACACATTCCAACTTGAAACGAATAAAACAACGTTGAAATGTCACCGGATCCTTGCGTAATGTGTGTAGAAACCGCTCAGCTCCGGACCTCCTCATTACCTGCGCCCCGATTGTTTTCCCTCACCTGACACTACTTAATTTATGAACATACCTCCAGGCTATTTGTATCCCATCCCCAAATTATTATAATCATGCTTCAGTCATAACCTTCGTTTATTTTTCACCAGGGGCGGAGCCAAGATTTTGACTTTAGGGGGAAGCTGACTTCAATATTCTGAGATATCCAGTGTTTATGTTTTCCAATGGGCACCACAAATGTATAAAACAAACTTTATTGGATTTGAACGCGGAGTTTATTAATAGGTCGGAGCCGCTGATGTGGCTAATAAGTTCGATAAGTTTGAAAGGCTGCCGCTCAAGCAGCCTGCAGGGCAGCACAAGGTGGCAGCCTGCAGGGCAGCACAAGGTGGCAGCCTGCAGGGCAGCACAAGGTGGCAGCCTGCAGGGCAGCACAAGGTGGCAGCCTGCAGGGCAGCACACAAGGTGGCAGCCTGCAGGGCAGCACAAGGTGGCAGCCTGCAGCATTTTGCAGCAGCTGGATATCCGGTTATCCCGATTACCGACTTTCCAAAAATTTCAGGGAGGGCTGAGCCCCCCCCAGCCCCCCCTGTGGCTCCGCCCCTATTTTTTACATGGATTATATTTTCCACGCGCCCTCTCTCCATGATTTGCTACACCTGACCATTATCCCTAATACACTAACCGCTTACTATGTTGATTACTACATTATTGTACACGATCCATCCTTGTAAAAAAATATTTTAATCAGGAGCAGAAATGTTTAGAAAATGTATACACATAAATCAATTGAATTTTGAAATAACGTCTCATTCTATTCAAAAAGTGAGAATACTGATGTTAAAAATACACTCACTTATCTTGTATCGCACATATCACGGCCGTTGATGATTATTCATCATCCTTCAAACCCTACAGATATAAACTCTTTTAGACTTCGTAAAAAAAACTAAGAAAATTCTAACAAATCCGGGGTGCGCACATTCTTCTGGGGGGGAGGTGTGGGGGGGGGGCATTTTTGTAGTCATAATCATAGTCCAGACCATAATTATGCCAACTATCTACACCCCTAGAACACCATTACAATGTTCATGGGTTACGCAATCCCACGCTCAAGATTGGTGATGTCTCTAAGATAACCTAGCATGGGCAGTGAAGACAATAGATGTGCGTACCCTTTGAACTCATGCGTAGACACATCGACGCTGTCTTTCTCCTCGTCAGTCATCTCCACCTGTTTGTTTGCCTGCAGCACAAAACCAGGTGTTCAGTTACAGCGATGGGGGATTGCGTGCAAATTGAATAAACACGTGGACAAGAGTGATACAATACATATCAATCTAGATCTGAAGTTTTCGTGACTGCAGGGATCCATACTCTCTGGTGCTTTCGGTAAAGTCACGTAGGTGTAAAATAAATTAAATCACGACGTTTCGGAAGCAACGCAAGCGTCCGTCATCAGGTGGAACAGCCACAGCAAGAAACAAATTGCTGTAGTGGGCAGTGGAAATGTAGCATATCCTTCAACCCAAGCTTCGTTTGATGCCACGTAGTTGCTGCTGGCAATAGTGTACGACAGTAGAGAGTAACAGAGTAAACGAAAGCACGTATGAATGAGGATCATTATACTGTATCACTGTCCAATTGATTTACAATAATTTTGTTTCGGAGCAGGTGCCAAAAGTGGTTAGAGGTACCTTCTGGCTTTTAAGTTCGTCTCTCATGAGTTTCATCTCATTTGAGTCCAGCACTGAGTTCTTGTCTTTATCGAACTTGGCAAAAGCCGCCTCGATCTCTTCGTCACTGTGTCCCAGGCTGCTCACAGAGGACAAAAGAGACCCAACACCAAAACAAGCCTTTGCTCTGATGAACAACCATTCCGTCGTGATGGATTCATTGGTCAATGTCCAACGGTTTAGGCTACACACACTTTGGGATGACAGCGCCTTTGCAATTGCGGTTCCTAAACCTTGGAACTCGTTGCCCTTCGAGGTCACGACTTCTGAGACATTGCACATCCTCAAGTCTCGACTAAAAACATGGCCCTTTCTCTTTAGTTATTGTCCATGCATTGCGCCCCGAGGTTCATTGTTTAAGGGCGCTTTATGCATTTAAATTATTATTAAACCGATGACAAATGTAATACGTTCCTTAATTGACGGATAAAACGTGTAACAGAAGATACTGCGCATATATAGTATCAATGTAATACACATGTCAAGGTTCATCCATTGCATTATTACATTTTATTCTTACGTTCACAACAAACGCATCAATGTGTGCACATGAGAATAATCTACAATGTATGATATAAGTAAATTATATGCTCACGTTACATTTAGGCTAATGGAAAAAACAAGCATCCGCTGAGAAAATAAATACCAAAAATATCCAAAAACTACAGTAAAACGAGACCAAACAGAATGAGTTTGTGACCCCTAATCTTGATAATTCATGGAATTGCTGTGTGGGTGAATTGATACATGCCTGTAATATATGCACATTAATGTATTAGTATAACTTGGGGATTAGTATTACGTGGGGATGCCCGAGTTATTGTAGAAGTGACACAATTGGTAATATCTGCATAATTGATATACTGTATTCAAATTAGCCGTTTTGGCTCATTTGCAATGTGAGACAAGACGCTATTTGACGCCCTTTTGAGCTCTACATAAAAGTATTGCTATACACGTGATCCACAGTGTAACATCACGTGGGTCACCACAGACGGTGCAGTCAGTGCAAACTGACCGTTTCAGCTTTAGCCTCCAGTCGTCGTAATTGATCTTTTGGCTGGAGGCATCCAGTACGCTTATCATGTCCACGATGTTTCCCCGATTTTTGCCCAGCTTCTTCCGTATGTCAAGGTAGACCTGCAACATGGCATTACCGCTCATTTGATGTGCTGTCGATTTGACAATTAACGTTAAAGCCTGGCATCCACTTACCGTCTCGTGAAGTTGTCCAAATGACAAATACATTGTAAATATAATAATCCTCTGCTGAAAAAAGGGTTTGACGTGCCTTTCAATCCTGGGGGTTTTGCCATATCACCGCACACACTTGCTCAGTGTGGTTTGGTGAGACTAGATCTCACTACCCACTGATGGTAGTTAATTGTGGCCAGGAATCAAATTGTTTCACCCCTTACCAATTATACAGCATGTTTATTTCTAAGTTGTAATTTTTTAATATACAATTTTTTTTATTAAGTTTAAAACATAATTTAAACATTTCATTCAATCAAAATGATATCACATGGATATAACATCAGCGTGTACTAGTCAAATAACACTTGTGGCCCCATGGGTAACTCTTGTTGAAGTCCTAAGATTCTAAAAGTGAAGTGAAATGTGCAACTTTTGTGCATGTAGCTTTATTGCATTCTAAAAATATTTCTCAACATCCCATAACAAAATCAACTCGGTTGCTTATTTGTTTAATGTCGGCGATTCGCGGCCATTAAAAAACTCACATCATTCAAAACTCAGAACATCTCGTAAATATAAAAGTTATTAAGCTTAACCCTAATGACTTCTCTGTTCACAAGTCAATTAAATTACTCGATACTCTGGTATTAACACAGGTTTAGCCAAAGATATCCCACGACTAGCTAAACACTATCTAAAGAACACCTATTTCTTGTGGAAAGGTGACTTCTATAAACAAAAGGAAGGAGCAGCAATGGGCTCTCCTTTGTCTCCTGTGATTGCGAATTTGTACGTGGAAGATTTTGAAGCAAAAGCAATAGCTTCAAGCACACTAAAACCATCTGCTTGGTTTAGATATGTGGATGACATGCTGATGGTCTGGTCACACGGCAAAGATACACTTAACGAATTTCTAAATCATGTCAACTCGCAAAACCCATCCATCCAGTTCACTGTGGAAGTAGAAGTTGACAGAACTCTACCATTTCTGGATATTCTGCTCAGGCGCGGCCGAAATGGTAAAATTACAGCGTTTATCGAAAGAAAATGCACATTGACGCCTATCTGAATGCAGTCACACCATCACCCCGCACATAAATCATCTCATCAAGACGCTCAAACATCAGGCTAAGAAAGTGTCAGAACGTGAGAGTCTGAGAAGTAAAAATAAACACGTTAAAGCAGCGCTGCAATTGAACGTTTACAATAATGCCAAAGCCAAATCAAATAACACGAGAGTTGAAACTGACCAAGTAATTAAAACTATTAAAATACCGTACTTTGCGGGAGTAATTGATAAACTAGCCAGATTTTTGGAAAAACAAAACATCTGAGTCAGATTTGGTACGGTAGATAAAATACAGAAACTAATATCTGGTACTAAAGATGTATTACCGAAGCTATCGACAGAAGGTGTGTACCGGATTAATTGCACTTGTGGCAAATACTATGTTTGGCAGACAACAAGGATACTCAATTGATTTTGATAATGCTGAAGATCTGTGGAAAACTAGTTACTACTGGCCAAGACGAATTAGAGATCTATCGTAATTTATAAAAATATATAATTTTAACCGTTTGAATAGCTACAGGTTTGGTGCTGCTTGGAAGCGAATCATCAAATAATACATTGTTTAAATGCATGCCTATACATGTCACCATACATCAACGGGGATTACGTACGTGTACGCAGATAATAGCAGGTACTGCTATTTTATTGCATGCAAGGAAAATGTGCATGCACAATGTGCGTTGTTTACCATATGAATAACCCAACCGACAATGGATACCCATTGTAATTTATATGCATTCATTAATCCCCCCCCACCTCGCACGTGAAGGCATCACAAGTGACGTCATCACAGCTATCCCTCTATTTAAGGAACGAAACAGGAGGATTTCTCCACAAATCTGACTTTCGCCTGATGCAGCTAGTTGTAATTACTGGCGAAACGTCGTACTCAGATTGTTATTGTTGTGGATTTACTCTCCAACACACCGGTGTGCTGTACTAGTGACGAATTGGCATGTTCTGTTGACGTGACAAACCTTACTAGTTGGCTGTGTCGGGTGGTGGCGGGTTTTAACGACACATTTATATTTAATCTAGATTTGAAGTTTTTGTGACTGCAGGGATCCATACTCTTTGGTTCTTTCGGTAAAGTCACGTAGGTATAAAACAAAATAAATTAAATCACGACGTTTCGGGCGCAACACACGATCTATTTATACGATCTAACCCAAAAAAACTTATATTATTGATCAGTTGCTTGTATTTTGAAACAGTTGCACATTACTGAGTCATTGGAATAAACCTTTAGAATTGAGCACTGTACAGCATAGCCGTGAAAACCTATGCAGTAGTATTACCTCCTTTAGAATTGTTGGGATGATAAGTTTCACCATTTAGCTGCAACTGAAGAATGTAAAACCCAGGCCACACTAAAACTTAATTCGTGTTGCCCCAGGTTTCGGAAACACTCACCTTCTTAAAGTAGCCACCCACGTCAAACTCATTCTCCTTCTCCGCAAGTTCATTCTTCACCTCTGCATAGGTGTCATTGATGATGGCCAGAAACATGTTCTTTGGTTACAAAAAAGAAACATTTAGTCACATGGTCAGATATTAACTTACGTTTTAGCACTATATTTATCCTCTGCTACATTAACGCCTACCCACTACGTGTCACTCAAGGGGGTTGTTTGACCATACCTCAACACACTGGGCAGTTGTGATTGTTAAAGGGGTTGTGGCAGAGCCAGGACAGGTTCAGCTATCACTTGCCAACGATATCAACCATGGCTGACAAATGAGCTCAGGTTTGCTGGGTTCACTGCACAGTGCACAGACTATTATATTGCACCACTTCTCTAATGTGTGTTGGGGTTGCACCGTGTGTTATTCGATATGTCATCCAACATTATGCTCCTCTTTCTGGCAGCTTCTTCAGGAAGTTAGTTTTTTTTTTTAAATTACAATTAAATTCCCGAAGAAGCTCCTGGCACGCGCAGAATAACGTTGGACATCGTGCTGAACAATACGCAGCACAACCCACGGACACATCAGAGAGCTGTACAGCACAACTACGAAAACATAAACAGCACCGCGCCTTCGCTACACCATACATAACTGCTCACGTATAAAATCCTAAACGCGAAGTAAAACTTCACAGAGCATGCACAAACCACATTTAGAAATTGTTCATAGCACTCACCAGGAGCACGAAAAAGACGACAAACACATAGGTGGTGAAGTAGAGCGGGCCCAGCACTCGATTGGCATTTTCGATGGCGTTAAAATCAAAGTCACCCAGGATGATGCGGAACTGGGTGAAACTGTGAAAGCACCGGTAAACTGTGTAAATAAAAACAGCATATGCTTATCTGCATGTCTCTCTATGCTGATAATTATGTCGTCATCATCACTCATGATATTCATCATTCCCACCACAGTCACAATGAGCATCACCACCGTAAAATAATTATCATTCCTACCACCATCACTGTAATCACCACCACCAATCATTATTCTCACCACCATCAGCAGTATCAGTGACATAATCATCATAATCATTACCATCACTCGCATCGCTGTAATCACCATCACCATCATCACCAATATTTACACCACTATCACAACCAGCATGAAGGAAAGTATCATCTTTCTCATAATGCTAATGTATCGCAATTCATCATCTCCTCCGCCGCATTGGCCCTCCCTCTCAAACGCCACCACCAAAAGGTGAATGTAACCCGCCTGTCACACACCACTCGTTCGAGTGCAGTCTCCGCTAGCTCAGCCTCGGCTGACTATGAGCCGGTCAGAATGTGTTCACTTAAGACGCACATGCAGTTGCTGAATGTGCTGAAGTCCTCCACTTGCGTGCCGAAGAGAAGGTAGCCGAGCTGCGCGTAGGCGAAGAAGATGATGAAGAACATGACGGCAAAGCCCAGGACGTCCTTGGCGCAGCGAGCCAGCGTGGAGGAGAGCTGCGTCATTGTCTTGTTGAAGCTCACGTACTTGAAAAACTAAAAAGAGCACGCAATGTCATAATGCCTTCTTTGGTTCTTTCGGTAAAGTCACGTAGAATGGGAATAAAATATTAAAATAAAACAGTAAAATTCTCACGACGTTTCGGCCACAACACAAGTGGCCTTCTTCAGGTGAAAGGAACAGACCTGTCGGGACGACAGAGCTACAATGAACGCTGCTAAGATTCGCAGCGTCTTTTAAGCTGGTTGAGAGAAGTGAGGCACCTTGACAAAGGGGGTTTACATATCAAACGGCAGAATTTAGCATTGAAACAGTTGAGGGATTAGCTTGTGACTGGTCACAGAAATAGCTGTGTTAAAGTCAAAGCCTACACATCCACAGAGGCACCTAGTGCATGGATGCCAAAGGGGGCTGCAACAACTCAACTATCATACAGTAAACCGATGTGAAAAAAACCTAAGTCTAAATTACATCAATATAATAAATGTACTCAATATATTCTTCAATAAGCAGAGCTATTAACAGCAACTGGGTATACACTACACTATATAATGAATACCATATAGTAAACAGATAAAAAAACCTAAAATATAAACTACCTCAATGTTATCAATAAACTCTATATATTCTCCAATTAGCTGAGCTACCAACAATAAGTCGTTATATATCATGATGCTATATGGCAAAATTTCATAATGCTCGTCATGTTGAAATGTCGAGTATTTTTTAAACAGCAATTTTATTACAGTGGGGTTTTGTACAATTATTAGTAATTGCACGGAGACGACAAGACCTCCAATGTGTCATGCCATATCTGAGAACAGTTTTACCCCTGAGATTGTTATCCCAATTTATATCTGTCACACACAGGCCATAAACCCAGAGCCTCGGAAATAGTGAGCCACCTAGACACCTCCCAAGTCGTTAATATTAGGTTTACTTTTAATCTCAAAATGTCACCTTGATCCAGCAGAAGAAAACATTGACTGCCACCATGTTGTTGTACTGCGTCTGCCAAAATGCCAGGAACTGAAAGTTGCCGTATCGATTGGGTTCATCCAGCAGCGCCTTGAGCAGCTTGTTCACAGTCACCGTGCGGTACACATTGAAGATGATGGCCACTACCGACAGCTGCGAAACAAAATAACAAAGAAAAAGCGATTCACCAATAGCCCGAGTTAAATGTATCACATTTAACGTTTTTTTGACAATTCTTTTAGCCGAATCTATTTTGTTTAACCTGGGACTTTTCTTGCCAGTATCAAAGTATAAGAATAGGTTTGAGCCTTTCTGGCACTAAAACCAAACAAAAAACTGTTGTAAGGAATCATGTCTGCATTAACCACACATACATTGTCGTGAACACGCAAACAAAAAACACGCTCTGGTAATAGATGCATTGTCTTTGAAACTGATTGGTTTATACCAGAGACTGCCTTCTCTAGGGCCTAGTCTCAACCAGTGTTAGACCAGAGAATGCCAAAAGGCGAACAGCTGTTTGCATGTTTCAACACAAGTATTTTTGGTCAATGCAGACTTGATTCCCTGCAAAAGGTTTCTGTTTGGTTTTTGAACATCTTAACGCCTCCTGTTTTATTGCTACAAATGGTAAAACCTATTCTTATACTGTATTCACACATTTAATATATTTGGACTGCCAATTTATTCATAGCATTTATTCGTCTTAGATGTGTTAGCATTTTTCGTACTTTTAGTAATGGCAGTAAATAATCAGTACACGTGTAGTGACATCGCTGGATGTCAACATGCTGGGTGCAGTGCCGGCCCTAGAAGGGCACAGCATGCGATGTAGCGACATCGCGGAAACCACAGGGGTCTGGGTGCAGTACCGGCCCTAGAGGGGCACAGCATGCGCTGAATGATAGCGCTAGATGGCACCACGCTTTGCGTGCAGTGCCGACCCCTACAGAACAGGGTGTGTGGGTGCCGGCTGAAGGATGAGGTTACTCGAGACCATGGCACTCTGATTGACCCAGGAGGACACGTGACCAGTTAAGTCTACAAAGGGGCCCCAAGTGGGAGCTAGGGGTGGTCACGTGATTGGGACCCAGATCCTTCCCGAGGATTCTGGAAGGTGAAGGGCGGAGCCAGCCACGCCACAGAGAATATAAGCCGGGTCCCCAGAGGGACCAGGGTTGTTGTTGTTCATCCTGGAAGAAACCTTTGTCTACGTTCTCCGTTCAATGAGTCTCCAACACGTGGACCTGGACCCGAGCTGAGGTCCGGTCCATTGTAGCTCGTGACGTTGTATCTAGTGGAGTTAGCCTGGTGGTCACCACCTGGTTAACTACACCAGTTACGTTGCAACTGGTGTAGTTAGCCTGGTGGTCACCACCATAGGTTGTTATTCTGTTAAGGGGAAAGTTACCCCGTGTGTTGGAACTGAATAAATGTGTTGCCTCCGAGTCTACGTCTGCGACTCAGTTGAACCCATTACACATGTGCAATTCAATGCTAGGCCACCTAATTATATAAATAATCAGTTACTCTACAGATTATCGGTTCCATCACTCAACTGGTCAGATAACATTAGTGCAGTGGAGCAAAAAAAAAATCTCACTTCTGTTCCCACATGTGCCAGTGGGTGGGAGGTGATGGGCAGGCTTAGTGATGTCATAGGTATTGTTAGTCACAGCATGCTGGGCGTGGCTTATCGGGGGTTGCCTGCCTTCAAGAGGTAGAATGTCAGGGCGGCTGCCATTTTTTTTAAGGGGCCAGAGCAATTGACTACAAAACAAGTAGTCAATTACAATTTTTGGTTAATTAATCACCTAAACTAGTCGTGTCATTCATAATAAAGGTTTTTGGGTTAGATCGCGTTTATTTATAAATGTGTCGTAACCCTCCACCACCCGACACGGCCAATCAGCAAAAAAAGTGTCACGTTGACAAAAGACAAATAATTCACTACTTTAGCCCACCGGTGTGTTGAAGAGTGAATCCACATTTACAGTTTGAGTACGACGTTTCGCTGGTAAATACATCCAGCATCATCAAGCAATTCGCCAGAATGGTAAAGCCCTCGCTTGCTCCCGGTTTTATATAGAGCAGCAGGGTGACGTCATCACTTAACTCATATCAGGTGCAGTGATTAGAGGCGCCTGATATGAGTTAAGTGATGACGTCACCCTGCTGCTCTATATAAAACCGGGAGCAAGCGAGGGCTTTACCATTCTGGCGAATTGCCCGATGATGCTGGAAGTATTTACCAGCGAAACGTCGTACTCAAACTGTAAATGTGGATTCACTCTTCAACACACCGGTGGGCTAAAGTAGAGAATTATTTATCTTTTGTCAACGTGACACTTTTTTGCTGATTGGCCGTGTCGGGTGGTGGAGGGTTACGACACATTTATAAATAAACGCGATCTAACCCAAAAACCTTTATTATGAATAATATTGGTCGCGAAAGCCTACGTGTTAGTCGTGTCATCTCTACTTGTCTATTTTTTATGTGTCCTACGTGCAGACCACACCCTACCATGATGACCAGGAGGTCCAGGCAGTTCCAAACCGACTTGAAGTAGGCAAACTTGTGAATGCTCAGCTCGAGGATCTCCTCCACGATGTAGTAGAGGATGAAACAGCAGAAGATGGCCTCGCAGGCCAGGATGAAGTAGTCGGAGCCGGTGACATAGCGGATGAGCTTCACGGTGTAAATCTGTGAGGATGGCACGGCCCCTCCTGTGGGAGGGAACTCCACGAGCAGCCTGCCCATAAACAAGACAACCACAGCCCTCCATCAGATGCCGCAGTGGTGAAATGTTAACTCCCTCGCCGGGTATGGAGGAGGTGGTGGGTTCCATCCCCATGAAGATGAAGGCATGTATAACAATTAGCTAAATCATATTAAGTTAATTCGGTAGCATTATCCATGCAGTGGCATAAGAATATGCAATGGAAAACTTCGTTCAGTGTTACTGCTGGATCACATTCACAAAATGTATATATCTGACATTAAAATTCTGTCAAAATCACCCTGAAAATCGCATCAGATATTGGACGCTAAGCAGCGTTCAGCCGAGTTCAAACCTGGATAGATCGCCCCCCTCTAATGTGTGGGTTTTCTTTAGGTACTGTGGTTTCCTCATGCATGGAACTCATTGATTTAACTGGTCTAACACCCTAATGGAGGAGACTTGGTGAAACTTTCCTGGGTAAATAATGATGTTATTATATGACTGTGCTAATTTAGAGATTGTGTGTTTTTTATATTAAGTATACACTAAATCAAAGTCAAGCACTATCTTTATCTAAAGAACGAATTCAACAGCCAGAAAAATACGTGTGCAAGTCAGAAATAAATTGTAGCATATGCACATGGGTATCTTCAACAGCAACAAATATAAGGAATCCCAGGATGCTTTGCATGTATGACACAATTCTTCTGCATATTCGTGAGTGTACTGGCAGTCTATAAGTGTACTGGCAGGCTACATTATGATCTGCCAGTGAACTCACTCCGGTTATCGAACCAGGCTACAGTCTACATTAGTGGTTTTTAGTTTTTTATTGTTAAATTTTATTTGTAAAATTTATTTTTATTTTTACTCACTTTATTTTCATTATTATTTTTCTATCTACGTGACTTTACCGAAAGAACCAAATAATATTAATTCCTTCAGTCACGAAACGTTTTAAGTCAAAATGTAATTCTTCTGTAGCTTACAAATTCTGCCCATTGCAGGGAGACGGATGATCAACACAAGCCCCTCAGGTACAAATGGCAGCAGGAGGCAGCAATGGCGATACTGTCCTGATGAATCATAAGAAAGGTTAAAATTGTATGCAGTTGCTTTTGTTATTCTTCTGTTACTTAAATTAACAAAAAAATGCCATAATCTCGGCTCTTCTGAGATGATGGCTGTCACAAGGCCATGTGCAGAATATCCGAAGGAATGGTGATTGATGTTATATTTTTCTGTGTATTCAATATTTTTAATAGAAAACAGTATGCGTATGTTACCTGATGACTGAGAAGAGGTTGATGTTACCGTTGTAAGAGGAGAAGTCAATTAAGATGGCACGGGTTCCTCGGTCCAGCCACTATTTAAAAAAGAACAAATCATCGGACAAGTTTACTGAAATGAAACTAATGGGACAACAAATGCAGAATTCGCAACATTAACATCAGCGTGCAGACCAAAAACTTATCATTAAACAGCCCACACAACATTAAATAGGTGTAAACATGTATATCTCTAAAACATCACATCCCTGCAACCTGAATAAAAATGTATGTGGCTATGCAAATTGTCCTTTATGGATTCTGAGACGTTAAATGTGGAAAGAACCAACTGTATTTTCCCAAGCTTGTGATGCAAGCACATGCAAAATGATGAATTAAAGAAGCGAACAAGGGCAGAATGGGGTGCTTTTGAAAAACTTTATTTGATCATGAAATGAGAGTACCCCCGGGATGATATGACAGCCACGGAGATGGAGCGATGAGGTCAGCTCGTGCAGGTTCAAGATGGATTGTGGCAATGAAGGGCTTTGTTGGTTTACAATGGTGTTGGGAAGCTTTCACCCAGCAATTGAGAGAACATGGCTGATAATTAGTTTAACACGTCGGTTTTCGCAATCAATATTATTCATGATAAAGGTTTTTGGGTTAGATCGCGTAAGTATAAATGTGTCGTAACCCTCCGCCACCCGACACAGACAGTAAGTGATTTAATTTAGTTATAAGTGATTTAATTGAGTTATTTTCATTTTTCGATTTAAAGCTTTCGTGACTGCAATGATTCATCTTCTTTGGTTCTTTCGGTAAAGTCACGTAGAATGAGAATAAAATAATAAATTGATAAAATAACACAATAATATTCTCACGACGTTTCGGCCACAACACAAGTGGCCTTCATCAGGTGAAGGGGCGAGACTGTCTGGTGAAGGCCGCTTGTGTTGTGGCCGAAACGTCGTGAGAATATTATTGTGTTATTTTATTTTATTTTATCAATTTATTATTTTATTCTCATTCTACGTGACTTTACCGAAAGAACCAAAGAAGATGAGTTATTTTCAGTTTAATTTGATTATTTTTATTTTCTATTTTATTTTATTTTCACCTACGTGACTTTACCGAAAGAACCAAAGAGTATGGATCCTTGCAGTCACGAAAACTTCAAATCTAGAAAGAGTAAGGTTTGTCACGTAACCAACGCGCCAATTAGTTTACTACTTCAGCCCACCGATGTGTTGGAGAGTAAAAATTGTACAATTTGTGGATTTACTCTCCAAAACACTGGTGGGCTGAAGTAGTAAACTAATTGGCGCGTTGTTTGCGTGACAAACCTTACTGGCTGTGTCGGGTGGTGGACGGTTACGACAACATTTATGCTTACACGATCCAACCCAAAAAACTTTATTATGAATGGCTGATAATGATCAGCGTTTTACATTCCATAAAGTAAAACGGTTACTCGACTCTATCTAAAACAGCCTATGAATGCATAAATATCTTTGTCAGAAGTATTCCGGATGAACGGCACTAGACCTGTTTGTCGAAGAGGTCCTGCAACAAGATGGCACTCTCAGATTTGCTCCGGGTCAGGTCCAGGTAGTAACCTCCGCCGCTGTAGGTCGCCAGCAGCCCCCAGTGCGAAGAGCCATTCATGTCCGAGCTGGTAGAATACTTCCACCTGCCACGCAAGATACAGCACTCGTGATGTGACCACGTCTAGCCTGGCGTTGGCTTTCCACACTCCGTGAGCCACCACGTTCGTACCAATGCACCGTGGCTGAAAGCATCAACATGCAATTTCACGTCATCAAATGGCACAGACTGATTTAAGTAAGTCTCATGGGGAATAAAAACCTGAATAAAATGGGCAATATTTTATAATTTTTATATTTGTATTTAAATTTGGTCATGAATTATAAGAACACTGTTATCATTGCAGCTGGGGCATTGCTTATTCGGGCAGCAGAATCCCGATCGTGAGTTAGTGAGTTCAAATCATCCCTTTCATTCCTCTGGGATGTGAAAGTTAACTGCGGTTGCCCTGTGGAGGCAGAGACACAATTTCAACCACTCGTTCAAGATCATCATTCGGGGTCGACAAAATTTGTTCGAGCAATCCACGAGAATAAATGTTGGTTCTTCCTTCCTCACGTGTCCGCAAAACAGTTTTGCCGAACCCATGTGGTCACATTGGCAAAAGGTGCGGTCGCAGGGCTCCACTCACGGGGTGCCGGTGGCCGGGCCGAAGGAGGCCTTGTCCTCGGCGTCCTCGGAGTAGGCGGCGTAGCAGCCCTGCACGTCCTTCTGGAAGTCGGCGTGCACTGTGCACGAGTCGTTGCGCACCTTGAGCTGGCGGATGCGCGGGACGCCCAGCAGGAAGTTCTCGTAGTAAATGAACGACTGATTTTCCACGAGCGGTATGTCGTTGTACCACTTTTCCCAGTAGAGGCCGTTGAGGACTGGGCCCTGTACCACCTGAGGCAGCATTAGTAGAGGTTGACATACAGAGGACAGGAATGGCTGGTACTGCACATAACGATTGCTTTGCTCATATTTATCTTGAGCACTGCCTTAGAGGTGTCTTTGTTAGGTCCTTCAATAATGTTCCTGTAATTCGTTACCATCGGTTGTCAGAGTTAATGTGTTTGCAGAAAATATGAGATGGTTACATATTTCAATATCTGTGCTCATGTCTTTATTTCTCAAAGCCAAGTTTCATTTAAAAAAAAAACATCGTCTGGTGTAATTTGGTAAAAGACTACAGTATACAGACCGAAAATAAATTTGGATCAATAAAAACTGATTCAGTCATTCGACATTTTACAAACCAAGGCTTTCATTTACAAAAAGGTAGAAAGTATGAAAACATGTATTGAAATTGGAACAACTACACTAAAATTGGATAAAAGAGTACACACATTCCAAATTAGAAGGAAATGTAGACAATTCCATATGCTCTCACCTCATGCACATGGTGCCATGAGATATGCGTACATGGAACAGTCAAACATACTTTGAGCATAGGATATTTTACTTAAGATACACATGATCACTCTCTTTTAATAACAGGTGTGTTAAGAAGCCTCAGTATGTCTGAATGACGTAAAAAGTGTATGAATATTACTCTTTGGTTCTATTGGGTAAAGTCACGTAGGTAAAAAATAAAATAACAAAAATCACGACGTTTTGGCCACAACACAAGCGGCCTTCATCAGGTGAAGGGACGAGACTGTCTGGAGGACAGCGCTGGAGTGAAAAAAGCCACGCTCAGATCACGACCTTTAAGCTGTGTGAGAAGAAACAAAGCGCCTTGACAAAGGAATTAGCATATAATTTAGCATTGAAATGGCTGAGTGATTAGCTTGTGACTGGTCACAGAAATGGCTATGTTAAAGTTAAAGCATACACATCCGCAGAGGCACCCCTTGACAAAGGAATTAGCATAGAATTTAGCATTGAAATAGCTAAGTTAAAGTATACACATCCACAGAGGCACCCCTTGACAAAGGAATTAGCATAGAATTTAGCATTGAAATAGCTGAGTGATTAGCTTGGAACTGGTCACAGAAATAGCTTTAACATAGCCATTTCTGTGACCAGTCACAAGCTAATCACTCAGCCATTTCAATGCTAAATTATATGCTAATTCCTTTGTCAAGGCGCTTTGTTTCTTCTCACACAGCTTAAAGGTCGTGATCTGAGCGTGGCTTTTTTCACTCCAGCGCTGTCTTCCAGACAGTCTCGTCCCTTCACCTGATGAAGGCTGCTTGTGTTGTGGCCGAAACGTCGTGATTTTTGTTATTTTATTTACCTACGTGACTTTACCCAATAGAACCAAAGAGTATGGATCCTTGCAGTCACGAAAGCTTTAAATCTAGAATTGTATGAATATTCTTATCTCTTTCGGTAAAGTCACGTTGAAGGAAAACAATAAAATATATATAAAACAATAATATATTTTATTATTTTATTGTTTCCCTTCAACGTGACTTTACCGAAAGAACTAAGAATATGAATTACTGCGGTCACGAAAGCTTGCCATCAAAGTGTATGAATGTTTAGTGTGTACTATATTGAAGAGAACATCTCGTATCCGCATTCACGATGTGTCACCAAAGTGCATACCCGCGTTCAGTGATACATTTTAGCGCGATCGGTCTGGAAACTATTTTGGCCACGCCACATTAAACTCACTTTATTATTTGTCCATTATTCTGTGGTGGTGTGTGGCAATATAGGGCACAATAACATAGGGCTATTATGGATGAGAGTACTTTGTACTCTCGAGATAGTGTCTTACACCTATACTCCCTACCTCAAGCCGGCCGAGCAGCGTTACGGACAATGTAAAAAAAATAAGCCCTGCCCATGCTATGTAAGAAATGTGTTTTTTTCTAAAATCCTGTAGCAATGTTATCCATATGCATTCCCACTGTCACCAGTACCTTCCAGAAGTCATCAAAGGTGAAGATGGAATTAAAGTTGACACTGTCATTGGGTGAGACCGTGTTCTGCAGAAAAAGGTTGTCCATTGCCAGGGTGTACTTATACATGAGGTCGCTGGTCATGCCAAATGTCACTGCGGAGAGAATAGTGGTAGAGTAAATGATGCACATGGGCATGTTAACAAAACTATGTGCAACAGCAAAACAAATAAACTATTTAACGAAACTTTAGAGCAGCAAATCAGCTTAGCAACATGGAAAATAACAATCAGTCCCAGAACATATATTAATCAGTAGAGCCATTGTACGAATACTTACAAGTGGATGTATTTGCCCAAGGGCTTGGAAGCATTTTAAAGTGGTTTTATTATATTAGGCGGCGATTTTGGAGTTTTGATGAGTGTGTCCACTACGTTTATGTTGCAAAATAAGATTATGCAGTTTGCATGCTTGTGAAAAATTCCACTTTCAACATTTATGAATTCTACAAGTATTCAATTTAGATCTAAATGCTGCCTTTGATCAAATTAACTGAAATAATAAAAACCTCTCATCTAATGCAGAATTCATGGTGCATAATATCAGTATAAAATGTGTTTCTTAGCATGTATTAATCTTGAAAATGTATTTACACTCAAATTAGCTCTACGTGTCATCCGAAGTTAGGGTTTTTTTATATTTAACCATCGCCAGTTACGTTTTCCCGCAGTATTTACCTTTTTGTCTTGTTGGATTAAACATGTTTAAGATATTTATGGACCTGTTGAATAAATACTCAAATATTAAACGCTGGCACCTAAGCACCCGAGTAATACAAATACAACATTTAAATGTCTTATTAAAGCTATGGCAGATATTTAATAGTTTTTTTGCAACGTTTTAGTATATGACAAGACATAATTCCTTTAAATTACTGTAAATAACTGCAATATATTTTTTAAAATGTGTTTGTTGATGTGTTTCCCAAGGCACCTGACCCTACATATGCAAACGAATTCAATGTTTGAGCTAAAAGGTCATGTTTTGTGACATTAAAACAAAGCACTGCTGGTAATAAAATAGCAGCGTCAACGTATAAAAAAAACTCTACCATTATGTTTTTGAATCATTTAGGTAGGTCTGTGTTTTGTGATAATATGCCACAGGACATTGCAACCAAAGATAAGGTTCAACACGTCAACAAGCAGTGACATATCTGCAATAATGGAACAATGTCCAATATTTGACTGGGCTCTGTGCAAGCCCTGTTGCTGGGATCAGATAGCTGTTCATTGTGTTCTGACACAGCCCATTTATGCATGTGACACCCTATCCCAAGCACACACATTTTAACCTTACGTTTAGTTTGTGGACAAAGAGAAAACGATGATAGGTTCTATTTATTGTTCAGACAATAAATAGCCTTAGCCATGGGCACACTTGCCGTACATGCTCTTGTGGTCCTACTGTATGATTTAAATAGTGCCCCTGGTTTATGGTTCAGGAGTCGAGTCAGGCTCGGTGGCGTAGCATTCACAATTCACCGAGGGCTTCACAGAGTGGGGATTAGACCAAAGTGACATATCCCAACAGTTTTGTTGATCTTAATTAAAGAGGTCAGCTGTTGCATGTACTATAAACAACACCATCTGCTTCCTCATTTCCCCGGTCATATTAAAACAATCCACACACCCACATCTAGTCCAATCCTTGAACATGTTTCTATTATTTCACAAGGTTAAGCAATCTACTTTCATTAGCCATTACCCACGAATGGCTAAGGGCCTCCATTTTAGCATGTGAAGCTACCTCTTCCAAATTTGCGATAGCTCATTAATCATGACCCCATAAGAATTGTGCTTGATGTCAAGTGGCTCTCTTGAACCGTAAAACACACGTATCGATCTGTGTTAGAACAGAAGCATCGGGCCTGGACTTACGGATGATGAGATTAATTAGGAAGGCGATGTAGACAAAAAGCTCGCGCAAAGTCGTCTTCACATACTTGTCTCGATCGGTTATATCCTCCGTCAGCCTGGTCCCCCATAGCCCTGCCGCAGAAACACTCAAATCAACGCCAGGGGCTGTACTACTGGCAGCGGATATTTCCCAGTGGTTATCAGTCAGATGGCAGAGAGGGGACCCCATGCAGTTCGCCCCATCCCCACACATCACCACGGACCAAAGGAGGTCCATCAGCCGTCCCCACACGCATACAGGAACTGTCCTGGTATTCAGGATACCACTGACCGACCAGCATTCCGTACAAAGATGGTACGTTATCTGTGCCAATTAAAACGTGGCACGTGTAACACGGTGGCGCTCCATTGCGAGCAGCAGAGGACAGTGCAGAAAATCCCAGTGCTGTACAGTACTCTGCTGACATGTCTATGCTCCTCCACCTTCACCAACACGCGTACTGACCTGAACGGGGTGAAGTATGGTCAAATACACCCCCACGACTGACACGGTGTGAAGAGGTCCTCATCCAGCAATTGATTGGTAAAGGGTTCTGGATGATAACTTTTTAAATTTATTTATGAAATACGTAACTGTAAATATGAATAACTTAATCACAGCAGCACACCACGCAAGCTGGCACACAAATAAGATCTCAACACGTGTCAATCATCCAAAATATAGGTTTTTGGTGGTTCAATTAATGATTTATGTATTCAACCCAAATGAATACGTTTCGCGATACAACTGCAATACCAAAATCAGGCTGCAGTTGAAACAAAAAACAGAACAGCACTGTGATAGTCATGATCCATTCACAATTGATCATCTCGTTCCAAATACAGATAACGACCATGTCGAGACATTTGTCCACTCGCTCAACAAACGCCCCTTGCCACTACCATTAGACGTCTCATCATTGCAGCGTTATAAACATCCGTGTGTATAAAGTTTATAACGAGCATTGCTGTTAGTTACACAAAACACAATCCGATCGTTAAGCAACGGTATTGTACATCACCATCTCCCAGAGTAATGTTTTACTCTGGCTGGGGAAAAAAGCATTTTTAAAACATCAATGGATCATGGCTATTTGTTTAGAACGCTTTGTTAATTGCATGCACATTCCTATTTTTAAAGGCAATTTATATTGGGGGGGGGGGGGGGTGGTTGTGGGCACAAACACACGAGCAACAATAACTGCAAGGAAACGACGATTCGCAGAACGCAGACGATACAATTATCGCACCATATATATCGTGGTTATCGCCCGATTATGGGGAGCGGTGGACCCAGCAAACTCGACCTCAACTCTCGCTCGCGACCAACAACAAACACCGGTGACGATTATCCGAACCGGTCGTGGAGGAGACAAAGGCGGCCTGGTGTGGTGTTGGCACAACCCCCACCGCCCTCGTGTGCCGTTCCGAGCCCATCGCAGGTTGCGAACTCGCTAACGGCCCTTGACCTCGGGCCGATGACCCACCGCGCAAGACGCTTTTGCGGGACTTCTTCGGGCCGCCGCTCTGATCCTCCTCCGCCTTGTGCGGCCCATCTTCGGGGATCTCCTCGTACACCGCGCTCGACGAGTCCACGTAGGATCCCGGGAGCGGTTTCCCCTTGGGGTAGTCGCCCGCATCGGGAGCCCCCCTCGACTCCGCGGTACTGCGGCTCGCGGAGCAAGCGCTGCCGCCTTCGGTCGGCTTCCCGTCCGAGAGGGCATCGTCGATGGCCGTCGATCCGAGGCGTTGACCCTTATCACCGTGCTGCATGGCTGTCCCTCCCTCGACAGTCTCACCGACCGCGAGGAATGACAAAGAAAAATAAACACAAGCACGGGTTACGAGAAGGTTATGGCGAAAGTGTTTGTTGTTGTTGTTGTTGGTGGTGTTGGTTGGTGGTGGTGGTTGTGGTAAACTTGAGCAGATGTTCCTGCGTGGGATTCGCGGAGCTGTGCTCAAAGCGCAAGGCGTGGACCACACACACACACGGTGAGATGAAGAGGGAGGAGGAAGGAAGGAAGGAAAGAGGAGGTGGTGGTGGTGGTTGTTGTGTGCGGTGTTGCAATGATCTCTCTCGTGGTGTTGGGCATCGGCTGTGGAACGCCCTCCCCGCCAGGTGCTGTTGATGTCTCTACTGGTGACGTCTCGCTGGAGAGAGTTCCCTGTCAACCGCTCGGCCACGCGAGGTCTCCGCGCAGAGGGCGTGGGGGGATGGGCATCATTTTTGCTCTGGTGCCCTGGCTGATATTTTTGGACAGCGATTTGGCACTGGCCCATGGACGCGTGTTGCTGCTCGGTGCTTGCGTCGAGTTGTTAATTGTCTCAACGATTGTATTGATTTGTTGTTGTTGATGTTATTGTCTTATTGTGGACATTGCTACGCTTTCCACGTCGAAACTCTGATCCTTACGGTCCTCTTTCCGCCTTTTTTTGGTGTTAAAAGCAGCATGAATATTCACGCTTCTATGCGCGCTTTTCACTTGTAGTTTTGTTAAATCACCTTTGTATGAGCAACGAATGATACCATACATACGGACGGTGACGTTGCGGTCGCGCGTTCGTGTCTTGTTTCCGACGCTCGTGTTTTCGATTTCAGCGTCCGCCTCTTTTAATGCTGCGGGTTTATTAACCAGAAGTTATACCGGCGTCATTATCCTACTTTGCCATATAAAACACAAATTACCCGCGAAATTACTTGACTGGAATCTACATAGCAATAATCGCCCCCCTACTGCAAAAAAAAAACTTGCCAGTTGTCTCCTTAAAAGAGTCGTGAAACTCCGTGAGGCCTTCATGGGTAAACAAGCATGATCATGATTTAAAGCTTTCGTGACTGCAGTGATTCATATTCTTGGTTCTTTCGGTAAAGTCACTTCTTTCAAATGTTCTTGCCGTTGGTTTTCACACCTGATGACGACTGCTTGTGTTGCAGTCGAAACGTCGTGATAATTTTATTGTTATATATATTTTATTTATTGTTTCCCTTCAACGTGACTTTACCGAAAGAACCAAGAATATAAGCACGATCATAATAACCCTGGATACCAGTGACTACAACCCTTTCTCGTTGCTCTCATCAAATGCAGTTAAATAACTCTATCCTGCTTTTTTTCCCACGTGTTGCAGCGCTTGTAGCACAACCTTGGGTAAACATATTTGTGAGTGTGATGCTGCAAATGGAAACAATCTTACATAAGACTTTTGCCAACTTGTTGTTTCCGCCAATAACGTCAGAGTCAAACCAGACTCCAAGGTTCTTGGACACACTGTTGGAAGGAAATATATTGCCAACAATGTCCCATTTATCAAGATGAATAACCTGCAAGCCACACACTGGTACCAAAGATGGAAATAATTGTGTTATTTACATCGCATTAAAGCCGGTGAGATTAAAGGCAAGCAATAACTTTGTATATACATTCACCTGCTCAGTAGCAACTAGTAATTATATCTGAATGTTGTCAAAATATATTAAAATATTTTGTCCAGACTAGTCTGGAATATTGGAAAGTGGTATTAAATAACTATTAAACGAAACGAATTATATTTTGCCATGTAAGGCCCCAAATAATTAGTGAGTAGTAAAGGGATAATGATAGAGTTATATCGTTCATCAGAAAATAAGTACCAATAGTTGTATTTAGCTTTTCCCCTATACAGTACTATACAATACAAAACATTACCATTAACAGTAAGATCATTTTCAAACTAACATGACACTGAACCGCATAAAAGGTGAATATGCAGCCCTGTAATTGCTTGCTCAGGCCACTGCTGGAGGAAAGATCGCCACGAGAGCATCTTTAGAGGGTATTTGGTCGATTTTCATACTTTTAATAAATTAGTTTTTTATAATACTAAGAGTAAATGGATGAAGATAAATGGAAACAAAATGTATATTAAATATTTTATTGGGCATTATTGACCACTGTTATTCAGCAAATATTGGTTAAGCAGAGAAAACATCTGGACTGGTAAGATGGTTCAGCAGTCTAGCACACGTCTAGGGTGGTTTTTGCATTTCAGCATTCGTTTAAAAAATGTGTGATTTGCTTAAATAACAATGTCCACCAGAGGTCTCCCTTGGTCTTTTCAGCTGAACATGATCTCCGACAAAAACATAAAGTAGGCTTCCTTCTTAAATATACACGTCAGCTAAAGCATAATGCTTTATCTTGTCCGATAATTACCTTTTCAGAGTAATTGTTTATAACCTTCTGGCCATGATTGTTGGTAAAATTGTGCCAATGTGTGCAGTGTAATTACCAATTTTATACAGATATTACATTATATGCAATAATTTCCCAGTCAGAACTAAGCAATGCAATACATAGAGAAATAACAAAAAAACAATATTCCAGTCATGTTATAGTAGACATAATGACAAATGGAGTCTAGTGTCTATAGGTTCCAACCAAGCATCAGACTCACTGGATATTTTTGGCTCCTCTTTTCAAAATGATGGCACACTCAATAGGGATAAGTAAACAGAATAGCGAGGTTTTTAGTATTCTCACTGATGTGGCTACAGTTTTGGATCACCATACTGCATATAATGGACAATCCTAAAAATAACCTTCCTTTTCGAAGTTTTGTTTATACAGAGTAGATGAGACCAGGTACTCTAGAGGCACACGTAGTGAGTGAAACTATCTTTTGTAAGTAATGGGGATTGAACCATATGTTCCCGCTCTCACTTCTCATGTATAGTCACCAGCTTCTACATCATTAGACCTCCTTTGCCAGTACTAAAATGTAATAGTAACAAAACAACAAAACTGAAACTTTTTACAAGGATTCATGTCTGCATTAACCACAATACCTGCAGTCAAAATGCAAACAAAAACATACTATGATAATATATGCATTGTCTTAAAAAAGAAAGCCGTCCCTTGGTGTGGACCAATCAGTTTCAAGGACAATGCATATATTATCAAAGTATGTTTTTTGTTTGAATTATGACTGCAGGTATTGTGGTTAATGCAGACATGAATCCTTGTAAAAAGGTTTCAGTTTTGTTGCCAGAAAAAAGGGGAAAACCCTATTATTAGTCACCAGCTTATTGATCAATTGTCACGATTTTGGTTATAACTTAATTCAATGATTTATTATTATTTTTGTCTCCTTTGAACAAACACAAAGCTATTGTTTCTCGTTTTTTTTGTCTCATTTGTAAGCGTGTTTTCACTAGCTTATCTGCGACAGTCGCATTGATCCTTACACTCGTTTATTTGATGCATGAATTGTGAGAGTAAGAATATGTTCTTATAGACGAACGAATCAACAATTTGTTACCTTCCTCCGCTAACAACAACAGACTAATGTCATTACAAAAAGCAGACAATTTTATTCTTGTCCATGGCAATATGTTCAGAAGCTAAATGGCAATGCCACGAGAGGGCTTCAGGAGACAGTTTGTGTAGTTTGATATTCCTCATTGAAGAAGCGCAGACTAAAGTTTGTTACGATATAGTCCATAGTTTGGGTTGCATTGTCACAGTGGCAATGTGGTTTGTCTTTTATTTTCAAGTTCTGAAGGTAATGTGCTGAGGTGCTTATTCAGGACGTCTGCATTGTTCCGCTCTGTTTGCCAGCGTTCTTCTCGATCTGGGTGAGATTCTAGGATGGTCACAGCACGAACCCAGAATGGGGAACGAGACATGTGTCAGGAACAATGTACATCGATGAGGTGTTGGTTGACGGGTGGGTGGTTGTCATTGGCATGTAAACTTATTTCCAGTTTGCGTGTCTCTGCGGATATTTGGTGGCAGAGTGTTCGCCAGGGGATTGGTGTCAGTTTCAGTTTTCAAGTTATGCGCATTGCATCATTTAATTGTGCATCTAGCAGTTTTGTGTCTGAACAGACTGAAAGATATCTTAAATTTGGCCACAAAAAGTTCCGAAGATAAGTAAACTTAATGACAGATATCGAGCAAATTTAATTTGTACAGCCTCAGTGTCACTTAGTGGATAGGTATATTGAATGAATGAAAAGCCCAAGGTTTAGGTCCAGAAATATTTTTTTCCCAGACAATTGTTCCTTAATAAATTAGTGGGCTAGAAAATGGGACATTGTAAATATGTCTTTTTTTGGAGTCAAATAAAAAATAACATGGAACAAAACTTTTGAAACGTTTATCAATGGGTTAATCATGTATGCAGAAAAGCCTAACTTTTGGATCGAAGCCTCTGCTCGATGGTATGTTGGACTCGAAATAAAGGATAAACACTCCATCTGCTTTCTTTTCATGATATGAACGGTGTGTGGGGAGCGCAAGAGGAGATTTTTTTTTGGTGAATATCCATGGACTTCATGTCTGGGTGAACAGGGACGATGCGCATAATGCATGGGGATTCTTACCGGTACCCTTGTTCTCTTTGGCATTCAGAAAAGCTCATTGCATAACAAACTATTTATTCTGCGTATTTTTATGTTATTAAATTAATTCAGGTTTTTTTTTCATACTCCACTAAAGATTCCACAATTCTAAGCCAAATTGAGCTTCTCGAGTTTTGACTTCCAGACCCTGTAACTCATTTTGGTGGAGTGTCTGCTCGGCTTAAGAATTCATTTCCTCAATCCAAATTGGACTGCCAGAGCAGGGGAGGATCACATTAAATACAACTGCAATTTTTTTAGGCAATGGTTTATTTTTTTAATACACAATCACTAGTGACTGTGCTGATACCATTCAACTCTAGAAATTTACATTTCAGCTTTGTGATGGATTTTCTGCATGCATTACATTGCTACACACTGACAACAATGCACATTTAAATATTAAAACTGAAACAAGTGTGGTCTTAAATATTTCCCCAGAAACTATGATATAAGCCAATGCCGTGAAGATAATTGTAGATGTTATAACCATTAACCCAGGGATGTATAATCACGTCTCAAGAACCTTTTTTTTATCATCAGCATCCCACTTGGGATATTAATCCAATATCTCCTTCGAGTCTTTTCACACATTTGAGGAAGCTAACGTTCTTTAAGGAAAGAAACACATTCTATAAGCAGCAGTCAAATTATGCAAAGGGAAAATTTTATGCACCGCTTGTTGTACTGCCCACCAAAATCTAGGTGACTACCTGACAATTTGGCATCTAATACATAACTTCTCTTGCAAGGATGGGCAATCCAGGCCTCCTGAGTGCACCGT